TGATGTGCCCTAGAAAAGTTTATTTGCAAGCTTTGGATATAGATTTTTCTAAAATTTGTTAAAAAATAAGTTTTCAAACCCAAAAATATTTTATTGTATTGATTTACACATGGTTTTGCCACACCATTTGATTTCTTACTGTGGATATATTCCTGCACTACACGAAAACAAATAAAGTTTATTGTGACAAATGTTTCATGACAACAGCACATTTCGCTCTGGCCGAGCACACCTGCCTCCCGTTACCTGTGTCGACCCCCAGGTGAGGAGAGACCTCTGCTGTTGTTTGCGGAGCGTATAAATAAAAAGCCATTGCAATTATTAGAGCACATTATAAGTATTTTGTTGCCGACGCTCGGTCACAAGATAAATTGATAAACCTGACACGGGTCCGCTCACCTGTCCCGTAACGAGCTGGGGTTAAGTTTTGTTGCTTTTTTGTTATTGTCCAACATGGCGTATACGCAATGCGAGTTTTTGCGACTCTTTTGCGGAATCCATTCGGTGAATGGGTGGAGTGTTTTGTTGTCTAAAATGCTAGATGATATTCTATCAAAGTGCTTTTCTCTCCTTTCATCGCTTTAATGGGCTTTGGTTGTTTACTCACCTCTTTTTGAGAGCCAAAAGAATGTTAAAAAGTATTATTTTCCTTTTGTGACCAGTGAAAGTATGTTAATTTGAAACGTAGTTTAAATAATTAAAGGTATAATTAAATAATTTAAGAGTTTTATAATTTTGGATATAAAACTCAAACTTTAAACAGAAAAATAAATTTAAAAAAATATTTATTAGTATTATTTTTGAAATTATCAAAATATATCTAATATATTTATAAAATTGTATCACAAACTTATATCTTTCTTTCTCTGAAACATAGAAATATATTTAAATTATAGACTGCTTAGTTACAAGTTCATTTCCCTGGAAAGTTGTACAAGTTCGTTATAATTTAAACAAATAATGGTCCCTTCAAAAAGTCCCAACAGAAAAAAAAAGAGCAAAGGGCTCCTCCTGTTCCCCTGTTAATACAATCGCTTCTTTCGTGTCAAACGCTTCTCCTCCGTTGTTTCCGCCCCGAAGGACCTGCCCCAAAGGACCTACCAATCGGGGCCCCACAATACGAGCAAACTTCGACTAATACCTGCATAATTGTTGTGCTAATTTTGTCAGCACGCCCAGTTAATGTTTCTATTGACACCCGCAGGATGGCGAAGGCGATGGCGGCGTTGGGAGGTGCGTGGTGTCAGGCGGGCAGGCCCTGTGCCGGGCTGGGCTGGGTTGGGCCGGTCTGGGATGTCCTTCCCCATAGTTGCACTGCTTTGACATTATTTACGCTTACTTATGGGTTTGGCTCGCTCTCACCTGCCTTGCCCCCCGTGCGGACTCTGAAAACAGTGATTAAACTAATTTTATGCAGCAGCGAAACGGGACGAGGGCGACAACAAGGATACAGGCAGTAGGAAGGCGTAAAGAGTGAGAAAAGCAAATGGCGAAGGGGCGAGGCAATAAAAAACCATTTAAAACATTCAAAGTGTCGCATGAGAACGGGCGAAGTGAATGTCGACAAGCGTTAACGGGCTGACTTCGATATGGAAACTTAGTCCCAGCACCTAGCTCTATTTTTCCATTTATTTCCATTTAAGTGCAGAGGGAAAAATTTAGTGAAATTAGATATATTATATAAGATTTATATTAGGGAAAAAGAAAATACAGAATTAATTTCTTCAATCCAAGACAATTTTGCTGAAATATAAATAAACGAAGGAAGAAACTTTACTTTAAAGGTCATAAAATGTATATATTTTTCTAAAATATAATATTCCCTAATTTCTCTCAGTGCCCTGGAAAATGTATGTGGTGAACGGGAAAAGAAAAACGAGCCCAACAACCAAAAGAAACAAAGTTTAGTAATAAAAATCTAAAAACGAGAGAACCAACGAGCGTGGGGTGAAGTCGCTCTGTTAATAAAGCCGTTTCTGCATGGGCTGTATCACCTGTCTCACCTGGCACCTCCCATCGCCACCGCCCGCTCTGAAACAGGCAATGGGTTCATTAGCAGTGGCTTACATTACAAAACCTCCTCCGCTCCGTGGTTGTTGCCGCTATTTTCCTAGTTTCCTTGGCGCTGTTAATTACAATCCTGTAAGGAGGCGGGTGAAAAAGAGGGGAAACCGGTTAGTCGGCAAGGAAAGAAAGGAGAGCGCGACTATCGAACAATTGGAAATTTATAAAAATTACAGGTAGATTGACAGGCAATTTGTCCTTGCCTAATACTCGGTGGTTATCCACCGCCAGAGGCAGTTGGCTTATTGACTGATTCCCCCGAAACTTCCGCGGTCGCGATGTGTGGCTTGTCAGGAAGGTCTATTAGGTTTCATTAGCGCCTAATTACCCCAAAAGCGAAATTAGTCGAAAAGCCAATTATAGTTAATGCATTTAGCGATTCGTTGAGTCGTCGAAAGTCGTTTGGACATTTATGAGCTGCCAAGCATTGTGTGTTACCGCCTGTCTGTCTGTCGTTGGATCTCATTTATTTGCTGCGCAATTCCAATTAATAAAAGGGGCTGCCAAAGGGACAGCCCGCACTTACTACGAATCGACATTCCTGGTAGAATGGAGTAGAAACAAAGTAGCCAGCCATTAGCATTAACTCACTACCCACACCAGGCAGCAACGTCTCGATTGAGCAATAAAAAACTACCGGAAAAGCATTCCCTTAGATTTTCCCACTCGTGTGTGTGTGTGTGTGAGTGCATTCGTGGCTGGCAATAAATAATGAAAATATCCGAGTGCCTCAGAAGCAGCAGCAGCAATAGCAGCAAAGTTTTCCAGCTAACCCACAAACAAAATACTGTGTAAAGTGCAAGGAAACGAATTCTAGTTTCCTAGCAAATAAGCCCCAAGTTCGTTAAATAATTTCCCAAATTAAATTCCCCAAGTACTCAACTATCTTTAATTTCTTAAAGGCAGTTCCTAAATGCTTGGAATTCCACACAAGTAAATGGTCTGAAATCTCACACAAAATAAAGAGACTCCGAGCTCAGGACGATTCCCATATTCATGAGTGTCATGCTCAGGAAATTTCAAATCTAATCCCCATATACACACACATTCCTGATGTGTATAAATTCCGAAAGGCAAAACATTAAATATTGAGCAACGCTCCGTACATTTGATTTATGAAAACATATTACCCCCTTTGCGATCCAGCAAAGGGAAACACTGCCGGAGCAAACATACGGCGGATACGGATATTTGTGAAAGCTTCTTCCACGGGCTGGGAATAAGCATATGAAAAACTAGCTTCCGTTACGTTTATGATAATATTTTATTAAAGCGCAGCATGCCACTATAACTACGGGTTAGCAGGCAAATGGAAGCGACTTGCACGCACCCAAGGAACTCGGGTGCCGCGGAGCCTTGAAGCCTCGGAACTATGGAGTTTGGAGGCAACTCTGAACTCGAAAGTCGATGACGATGTCGACACGCCCTGCCAAGCGTCCGTAATAAATTTATTATTGTGCTGCGCCAGAAGTTCGAGTTCGAGGACGGTGGAAAGTCGCATTTTCGATGGCATAGATAGCGAAACTTTTCCGCGACTTGTGCGGTTTCGTCAGTGAGATAGTAGGCACAACAAAGTTTCCTTCTCTGAACTTGTTGCATTGACAACCTGCAGCAGATGTCGTTACCTTTTGGTAGCAACTATGCGGTTGCATTTCAGGAATTGAGATAAAATATATTTTTAAATATTTGAGATATTTTCTACAACATTAACAACAAGTTTCTTTAAAAATCTGATCATCAGTTCCTGGACACTAATTCTTAAAATATTTCCCCAAGAATTTAAACAATATTTAAACCTAATTTATATTCCCAGTGCAGATGTAGATAAGCAGCTTGTTAATTCTGCGACTTTTCACCACGAATGCATCTGCAGCTGAGTGCGCGGCACTTTTCCCGCTGCTCTGCAAATTGGATGCAGTGCAGCCCTCGGAGTCAGCTGAACTGCAGTTGGCAAGCGTGTTGACAACCGCCACGCACTTCGATGCCCCAGGGGTCGGATTCGAAACGACAGGGCTGGGGATCGGGACTAGGGGCTTCGGTCTTCTGGCTGAAGATATGGGGCTGGATATACCGAGGATATACCTTTCCACCGCCGCAATATAAATAGCACTGATTTGTGCTAACAAATACGGAACGGTGGCTGTCGCTATCTGCTATCTTGCGACTTGCTGGCAGCCCGAAAGTTAAGCCAACCAACCATACAACCCATTTGTTTATTATGAAAATACGGGCTGGTTTGGTCTCGAGAGTGGGTCTCCGTATCGTCGTCGTCCCTCTCCCTGTGTGTGTGTGGGTGAGCGAGTGTAAGGGGGTGTGCAAGTGTGTGAGAGCTGCCCACAAAAACCTTAAACTGATGACACACTTCACATGGAGGTTTCTGCCTCTGGCTCTCCGGTTCTGGCTCTTTTTTCGTTGCCGTGTGCCCGTTGCTCGCTTACAGAGAAAGAAAAAATATAGATGTTAGGGAAATATTTTAAAATATATTTTAATTTACTTAGTAAATAAGTAAAAAAAAGAAATTATTAAATTATGGATACCATTCACGTTTAGAATAATCTTTCAAAAAGATATTCATGATTTTTGCAATGGCATTTATTTATTCTTTAAGCTTTACATTTTCTTCTCATTTCATTTAGAAATGCTTATGTTTAATGCGTTTTCCTCAGTGCACCTCGTAGCCGGCTTTCGGTGCTGCATTTCCGCTTGAATGGCGTCTGTGCTCGGAGCAACTAACAGCCCATTGACAAGGGGCCGTTGGTTGTTGGGTGGGCGGGTGACTTGGGGCAGATCCGTATCCCCTATCCACCCTTACTGGGCGGCGGAGGGGTAAGTGTGTCACCACACACGACCACGTAACTGAAAGGCATACTTACCGTTTTAAAACTGTGCGCTCTGTACATGGCACACTACTATATTGACTTTGAAGCATAAAAAGCTTTCCCAGATACTCCAATACACTGGAGGCGAACACTCTTTATTACTGCCCCATCGCCGGCGGAGCCATGTATCTGTGTCTGTAACGTGGCCTAAGTTCGGGCACAGGGAACAAAGGAAACGATGGAAGCTATGCCTTGGGAATAAACGAGCAGATGACTTCCTGATCGGACCGGCTTAGTGCTGGGCCTTATCTACGGCTACCGTTTGAAGCGTTCCCTGGCCGAGTTTGGCGAGCTTAGCCTGAGGTCCAACAGCGGCTTCCTCTTTCGTTTCTACAGGTGCCTCGAACAGGGCAGAGAAGTCTCGGATGTAGTTTCGCAGGCTTAAGATTCGTGACTGAAGTTGCACCAAGGTGCGTTCGTCAAAGACCTTAAGCTTGATCCGATCGCCGGTGTCCAGTGTTTGGTTAGCCATGTCGTGGAGGCTCCGGCGCTCCTCAAGGATCCTAGTGCACAGGCGACTAAAGTTGGTCACAAAGTTGATCAGGTCTTCGATCAGTTCTTCCACCAGGCAGTATTTTCTAGTTTTAGTCTTTACGTTTTCGGGTTTCGCTGCTAAATAGGCATCGTTGAGTTTTTTACGGATCGATTTCAAATCCTCGGGCATGCTTTTTAGAACATCTTGGGTGAGGACCAGGAAACCCTTAAGGCAGATAGTGAAATAATATTAAATGCTGATCTATAGATGTTTTCTGAGTACTTACATTCATATCGCTGATGGGATGAGGGTCAGAGAATACCTCATAATCCGGCCACCAGTCCTCAACCTCATCGTCGTAATAGTCTCGCGTGACCGGCACAATGCGGATCTCCAGGATCTCTCGAAGTTGAGCTAGTTTTGGCTTCATCAATTCAACGATGAGTTGGCGCAGCTGGCAGATCTCCTCCGAGCCTTTGGTATTTTTGGAACCTAGCTTCAGCAGTTTATATTGATTATTATTAGTGGAATGCATTGTTAGTCAAGTAATTACAAAAAATGGGGGTTAGATAATACGGGGAAACTATGTTTATTATGTTTTATAATAGCATTTTAAGTTACGGTTCTGACATAAATTTCAAAGAATGTTAGACTCACTCTAACTTCCTTCCTTCTTTCTGGACTTCCCCTTTTGAAATGTATCTCGAGTGGTAAATAATTTGCTGTTGCTGCCTCAGGAGAACGGTTTACGCTGCGTATACGCAACGTTGTCATAGTCTGTTTGCTTTGGGTTTATAAAACTGTCTAAATCAACACACAAACACTCATGCTGGCGCATAAACACACTGACAAATCTTAAACACACACATAACGTGTTGGTTTATGCGCAATGGGAGTTTTTATTTTATTTTGGTTAAAACACAAAATGCGAGCTCGTTTCTCGTTTTAAACTAATTGTAGAAGGCAGTTAAGGCCAACAATGAAATGCCATGGCTGGCCCTTGTCTGCGGGTTACAAAAACATAAATATGGAAGTAAAAACAAGCACAATGAATTAATTAAGCGAAAAATAGTCATGAAAATAGAGAACTGTGGCTATATCTTCATATGATTTAATTAGTTGCGCAAAACAGGTGGCAATCTTGTGAATTAAATAATATATTTTTCTTATTTTTGTACTTGCATATACTTTTAATTAAAATTAATTGTTTTATGTGGATATCCTAAGCTTCTAATTGTTGTATACGTTTAAAACAGTGATTTCAAATGATTATGTTTATTTTTATAAAAGTGTATTTCTTTTATATATTTTTATAAGATTTGCCTTTTCTTGTCTTGACCAGGTGTGCGTAACTCAATTAATTACATTTTGTATGAGCAATTTAAAATCCGTTTCGCATTTGCTAAAAACCATAAGCTTTCAGCTGCTCAGCTGAGCTCCCCAAAACTCTTCTGCTGCAGTTGGTATATATATACATATATATCATTTTATATATATTCGTTTATGTATATGTGTGTGTTTGCCTCTATCCCCCAGATAAACAGGCTGCCGGATAGGCACTGTGACAGAAAGACAAAGTGACTGAAAGACCGAGAGACAGACGCTTTTCTGCAAAAACGCTGGCGCAAAAACTTTTCGAGATTTGTGTCAGCTCGTTTGAGAATTAGTCGTGGGTTTTTAGCAAAATTAAAAAAAATCTGTCACTATGCGGTTGGCATTTGCCGTCTCATTGTTTTTTTGGTCCCCTGACGGGGGACTGTCACCCAACCCCACCGCCTCACGGATTTCCCACCCACTTCCACCACTCTCTACTCATGCTGCTTCTAGGTTTCAGTTTATGTTTCCATTTCTGTTTCTCTGGCTGTATTTAGATAGTCATTTCTGTTTGCTGCTCACGGACACGGGCAACCCTTATATTTTATTAAACAGTATTTGAAAAATGTAATTTAAATAATCAAGATGGCTTCCTTTATAGAAAAAATCACTACAAATTAAATAAAATAAATAATAAAGCATATAATAATGTTCCCTTTACTAATATCTAAATAAACCTTAAGGCTGCTCCTTTTTTAAGACTCTTTCAATGCCACTATTTTTTCGTATCCCCACTGTACATATATCCTTAGAATCGTATGTGACTGAGGATTCGCTTTTCCGTTTTGTATTATGTGCTCTCTGTGCTTTGATGCGACTATGTCTTAAATAATTTATGTGCCGCAAAATGTGCAAAGTAATTTATTCTGATTATATGCAAAACAAAAAAAAAGCGAAACCGGTAAAGAAAAAAATGAAAATGGGCATCAAATAAAATGTGAAACGGCCGCCAAGTGTCAAAAAAAGAGCGCTAAAGTCAAGTGTAGAGTAAAGAGAATTAAGTCCTGCACCTGGGCACACACACACACACACACACACACACCGCCTTATTTGGCCTTTTCCGTGAAGTCCGCCAGCTTCGCTTTCTGAAAACCGGGGGCCGTAAAAATTTATGTAGCTATAATTTAGCTTTAAAATCGCGCCAAACCTCAGCCCAGCTCATCCGAACTGTGAAAAGTGGCAACGAGGGGGATGTGGCACGCATTTAAACGGAAATAAAATAAAATTACAAAAAGTGCGCAACTTTTTGACGTTGCGATTGTTATCCTCGTTTCGGTCGCTTCACTGTTTTCCTTTTTTTACGGAGGGGCCGAAACGGCTGTCAGAAAGTGATTTAGAAACTATGCTATGACCCGGGCAGAGTACCTTGGCCAGGTCGAGTTCCGTGCTCCGAGCTGCGAGCTTCGAGCTCCAAGTTCCCAGCTCAAAGCTGAATCTACCCAGACACCAATGGCATTTGTTTGTTGTCGACTGTCGGCCCTGTCGGCCGCCTGTCGTTTGGCGGCTATAACGTTGAATTTAAATTCAGCATTTTCGGTATTCCCCCCTTTCCAATTCCCAATTGCCATTTCCATTGCCATTTGTGAGGCGATTGGAATACCTTGAAATGAATTGAAATTCAATTGTTTGCACATTTCTGCGGCCAGCTAATTTAAGCCAAATTCCTGCCAAATTACTCGCTTTTATCCCGGAGAGTCGAGCGCCAAATTCGCATAACTCATACGTATAATTTAGTTTTTGCCACTCCAAAAGTCGCTGGCAAATATGCTGAAAATGTCAAAACGTCGTTTACATATTTAATGCGCTCTAACATGCTTAATCAACATTACAAAGTAATTAGAGTTAATTCTTTTGTACTTGAGAGCACGCCAGTGCCAGAAACGAGCACAGACACCTAACAGGAGGCACAAGTTCACTGGAACAAATATTTATACATTTTAAAAATTATATTTTATGGAAAGATGTCATTAACATATAGATTTTGAAACAGCTTTTACTAGTCAACTATTTAAATTTGTGCCTTTAAAATTTGTAAATAAAAAATTATTAAAAGAAAGAAAAGAAAATAACAACATTTTTGTATTTAGTTAAATAATATATTATTTATAAATAAATAAATGAAAATATTGTTAAATAGATAGAATAATTACAGCTATCAAATCAGCTCTTCGAAACTTACTAAAATAATTTCATTGTAAAATAATATCTCAAATATTTAATATATACAATAGAACTTTATTTTGTGAAAACGTTTTAACACATATAAATTAAATTATTAAAAACAAACCACCAGTTTCTCCTTGTGCATGATACCACAGGTAGGAGCTGGCACAGGTAGTCAGCCGCAGTCAAAGTGCTTACGCATGTAACCGGTGACACAGCGACACTGAAACTGATGACGATGAAAATGACGATGACGATGCCAATGATGATGACGATGACTGAGGAACCCGTATCTGTAAACTGTTGCGCGGCAATTTGCATGGTTAATTATCTATTAACTTGGGCATAACTTTTTCGGGGGGGTGCGAGTGCAGTGGCAGTGACAGGATTCGGGGAGTTTCCCCGAACCACGCTAACAAATGCAGATACACAAATACCCTGGCAGATATACAAACACAAATACAGGCACACGCAGGCGAATTAGAAGCCACCGACTGTGTCGGAGCGAGACGAAAATATGTACATCCGTTTCCGCTGTTGTGCTGGCAGTGGCTGCCATTGTCATTATATAAGACGAGGTAAAGCGAAATGCGAAAAATAAAAATGCTATCATGGAACCTGGCGGAATTATTAATACTCTATAATGTACTACAAAACGGAAGTGGGAGTTAATTATTGCTTGAAGTTTGTTAATGCCTAACTTTTGATTTAAATGAAGAGCACTATATAAAATAATTTCTATACTCACTACCTGAATACAAACATTTGTAAGCTGAGTAAAAAAGCTTTTAACAAATGTGTAATTATAAAATTGTTTCCTTTTAATAGTTATAGAAAACTAAAATCCATACATAAACGTTGTGTTCTCTAAAAGCTTTTTAATATATAAATTCCAAGTACCCTTATAATTTTTAATTACTCTAATAATTAAATAGTTAAATAGTTTATTAAATAAAAAGTTGGAAAACTATTTGGCATTCATTTCACAAAAGTTAACAGCCCCCTTGTTTTGAGACCCGACAAATGTAGTGTACAGAAGCATCATCAGCGGAAACAAGTTTATGGTAATCTTAATGCCTAAAGCTTTCCTTTGTTTTGATGCTGCTGCATGCCGTAAATTTCACTTATTAAATATTTGTGCTTAATTAATAATTTAACTCGAACAACACGAGGAATGTTAGAAGGTAAATGGCAGCCGACTTTTGTTGGTATTAAAAGAGCATAGTTCAAACTAGGCTTTAACTTTTGTAGTGAATAATTCGTGCCGAATGTGTTTAATGCATAGGTTTGGTTGGGTTTATGGCTTCAATGCTAAAAGGCATAGTTATTTTCTTATAAAAGTTTAGATAGCTAATGACTTTCTTCTGTTTATTTGATTTGAAACCGTATTAATTCAAAGAAAGGCCATTCAAATACAAATAAGGTATCCCAAAAACCTCCATAAACTACCCTCCTATATGCCTTGTTTCCCATATATATAAGTCTTATTTAACAGATAAAAGCAAACAACTTTTTATAGTTTCTTTAGAACAAGTTTCTTTCACAAGTTTCCGATTGAGACAATTGGAAAGTTATTGCCTGGCAATGGATTCCAACCATTCAACTCGGCACACATTCGTTTTGTACACGGGAATCCATTTTCGGTTAATTTTTAAGAGCCCCCAATCGATCTCCATTATTGACACATTTTTGACAAATTGCCAGATAGCCGCAGAGCTGCGTGGGTAGCGGTGGGTAGCGTCTGTGGCCAGGAGTCCTTTTTCTTGTTCTGTCCTGCGAATCGCAAATGAAACGTGTCTGGCATTTCTGAGGAGAACGGACAAAGGGCAGCCGGCACAGCCTACCTTTCTGGTTTACCGAAATGGCGAAATGGAAAAGGGTCAACGATTTGCGTATTATTTGCTTTATTTTCAATACGCCCGGCGAACCCTTGTCAGGAGGAAAGGACTCATTGCTAGGCAATGAATGCCTCGCTGCTGCGCAAATATTACCGCACTTTCACCGACCGTCTCTGCCTTCGCCTCCTTGGCATGGCATGTCCTTGCTCCGCTTCTTTCGCATTTCAGTTCATTTCTGGCCTTAATTATGTACGGCGCAGAGCAAACAACAAATGCACAAACACACAGCAGCAGCACACAGCACATGTGCACACATCACAGGCCCATGCACTTTCAGCCCAGTTAATTGCTCATGGCACTCGGAGCACTCTGCGCCACTTGACCGACCTACAGCTGCCGCCCGCTCCGCGTCCTGCTGAGGCGCCTTATCCTGTGCTTCATCCTGCTCAGCCTGCCCTGGCCTGACACTATTTAAACTAAATGCTCACCTTAAAATCATATTCCGCCTGGATCCAGGACACCGAAAATGTTGCCTTTGCCTGCGGCCAGCTTTTCGTTATTTAAAACGGCCTTTGTCTGCGCTTGACCCTCTGTCACAACGGTCGGTGTTGTCGTTTGTCCACCGAGACAATCCTCTGGAGGCACTGGGAAAAATTCTGATTATTTTCCAAGCTGCCAAGATTTGGTAGTACAATTTTCTCCTATTTTGTTGTTATACATTTTTCTCTGAGACTTTTAAAAAGGATAAAAAGGTCTTACAAATTCTCATAATATTAGTATCACTTTCCTTTTTTAAATACCAATATCTTGAATATAATTTTTTTCATTGTGTACTTATTTACTTACGCCTTTTCGATAGCCCCCTCTTGGCTCTCCTGTGCTCGATGTCGTGCGCAATATGGCCGAGGCGAGCGGCTTTGATGTCCTCTTATCAGTTCATCGCTCTGAATTTCTGTCGTGCTCGAGAAGCGGTCGAAAAGGGTTCTCCGGTGGCGTCGAGGCTAAGTCCTTTTTGCAATGACCAGATAGTTTTTCCTTTGGCAGATTCGCATTGAGCAAGGGATAAGTCGGAATGTGAAAGCTTATACTTGGATAAGCAAATGTACGAGTAATATTATAGCCACAGTAATTATTATTCCAACGATACCCTTATACAGGGACGACTTCATTAAAAAAATTTCCGGCATGCGCTGGACTAGAAGAGAAGTTTTCTCTGCCTTTAATTTACATAGCCAAAATATGCAGGTAATAATGAGAGAACCTGAGGCTAGGAAAACCTTCAAAATAGCGACGAGGCGACTCACGCCCAAAAATGCCACTTCCTGCTGCTTAATTTCCGTTTCAAGTGAATTTCCTTGCCGCTAATTTTGTTGCACACACACACACATACCTCTAGGAGGGGCCACGTGCTCGAATGGAAACTGGGCCACACGGACGCGACCACGGACAAAAGTCCGGACAGAACACGGACATTGCTTTCATGCCCGTGCTCTCACTCCGGACAGTGATTTTCGCCGGCTAGCCATTTGTTTGGCGCATAGTTTTCTTGAACCAAAACAAAAGCAAAGCCAGAAACAAAGAGAAAACTTTAATATCCGCACTCAATGGCACAACAGCAACAAGCTACATGGAGAACAATGCTCACTTCAATGTCTATTGATGGCCCACGTGTGTGTAACAGCCCCTCGGTTCCTATCTCTGGCCAAAACATACCCCCCGGCTCCTGTTTCTAACTAAACTCAACCCTCTTTGCCTTTGTCATCGACCCCGGGTTTAGTGGCGTTTATGCGCCGGAAATGGAGGTTTTCACGATTATGGGGTATCTTTGGGAGAATTCTAGAAGCCTAGGAGTTCAACAAGCTGAGTTTTATTAAGATTATGATCATAAAGTTACTCTGGATATATTTATTAAAGTCTTGTAGTATAAAAATACATTATTTTTCCTAGACAATAAGTTCTTGTTCATTCAAAGGAATCTTTAAGATGTTCAATTGATTATATTGATCATTAGAAAGTTAAGGTTTTAACTTAACAGAACGTGTTTAAAAGTAACTAAATATTTCACTGGAAATAGAAGCAGCTTATTCCAGTCTCCCTATCTTCGCTAAATTCCCGGCAATCGCGATATAGAGCAAATATATTTGCTCGCTTCTCCATAAACTGCGGGCCCAAAAGCCAGATTCTGTGTGTGTCTGGCTGGGCGCATATTAAGCCATTGTGAGCCTCAGAGCCAGCACGCTTTTAACCCGAAATTCAACGAGTTAGCGTCTCAGACAAAACTTTTTTAACTGAGCGGCAGCATAAAAGCTCCTCGGCCATTACTATCATTCACAGGGTGCAACAACTACAATGGGCGCTTGCTATTACGGTGGCTTAGCCAAGTCTCGAGTCCTACTGGGTCTCGAGTCCTGGTTGTGAAACCAGAGTCCTGGGCCTGAGTGTTTGCTGCCATTTTTATTTGCAGGAGTTTGGGTTTATGGGCAAATATGCATTGAGCATTTGTGTCTCTATCTGTGGCAGTGAGTCTGCAGCCAGGAACAGGAGCAGGACTAAGGACTCCCCACTCCGGTATTGTTTGTGGTTCATTGTCTTCATGTGCCTTGTGTCCTGGTTGGTCCCTGTTCCGTATGCAGTTAGTATCTGCGGTTAGCAGTTCGACTCCAAGGGTTATCATCCTTACAGGGCCCCTTCTGGGCTAATGTGAAATATGCATGCTTAATTGTAATTCTAAATCTGAAACCACGGCACATTAGTGTGTCCGGGCGGCAGTTACTGTTGCAAATTAACATCAATAATAAATTTCGATTTGCGGCAATTACGACTGGTCCTGGTCAGGGGAGTTTGGCCAGCAACGGGATATACTTTATAGATGCCAATATATATACAAATTGATTGATTTATTATGTATAGTTGTGGGCCTCCATTGTGCGTCGATGAAAAGCGTTTCGAAAATTATTCCGCCAGCAATATTACATGTAGAATGAATACAGTTGGTCCTAACACAAATGTGTAAATATTTAACGCAGGGCTATTTAGAAAAAATCAATGTCTATGGTAATCCCGATGCCATAAATGTCACATGCATGCCGCCCCCAAAGGCAACGGTCGCCCCCACCACAGCGGTAAGTCAGCAGCATCGACGATGTCAATGTCGCCACTAAACCCACAGAGCGAAATGCAATGGTTTGGATTTAAATTAATTAATGAATTGCCAGGCAAATCATCTTACTGATAAATTACATTAAAATTGCATTATGTCCGCATAAGTGAGAGAATATTTGCATGGGATTTGCGTTTATTTATTGAGACTGCTAAAGCTGCAAATAACATGTAATCAGATACACTTATGCGATGATGTATTTTTAATCCAGGCGCACTAGAGACATTTTTGTGAATTAAATAGCTCGGCGGGATTTCAGTTAGTTTAGCAGCAAATGTAGCTTACTAATTGATTAAGTTTAAAGGAATATTTTTGAATATTTAAGCGGCTTATTAAATAATATTTAATTATCAAGGAAAAAATACATCTACCATAGTTTTTTTAACTCCCCATTTCATTAACTTAATTTTTATTTATTATCATTTATTTAACCCTTAATTATTTTAAATCTACTTATTATTTTCTACATTTTTGGCAATCTATTTATCATTTGTATTTATGTTTTGAAGGATCTGGATTTGTTTCCTGATGACGGATCTGGAGAGGTATGTTGATTTCTAAATTCCCAGTTACTATATCCCTTGATCCCTTATAATTTATTTAATTTAAATCCCTTCCCTCTTTCCATACGGTTTGATTGTAAAGAGTTTTCTACCCGAAGATTCAACGGATGCCAATATTTTAAGTGACGATTTCTGGGCTGCATCCGATGAGGTTAGTCCATATCCGCTTTAAAGAGCAGCGCAAAATAAACACCAGAATTAAATAGAGCAATGGCCCAGTACATTAAACAGCAGCAGCTGGGTTTGCGGGGCCATTGTTTTGCTATTGCTATTGACAGTGCTCTTGAAAAGCCATAAAATGGGGGGTTTTTTGGGTCGCAGTTGCGCTGACCACTGCCACTTTGCATAATTAAATATTTATATTTAGTTATAAGTTAATTTCTGTCCACGGTGGCAAGCGCAAAATCGATGCCGTCCAACAACAGTTTGCACTCTCGACTTAATGAGCTCTCGATTTCCCTTCCCGCAGGCGACGGACATCTTCGACGCCAGCGGTATGCAGCCCCCAGGACAGACGCAGTACTCGCACGAGAGACGTAAGTTCGGATAGCTAGAAACCACATTCCCACACCCAAGTCATGTTCCAATTCCAGTTCCACTTTCATTCCCACTCCCATTTCATATGCTAATGCAATGGATTTAACCATCTCCATTTTGTTTGCTCTCCATTCTTGCAGCATACCGCGGCATCAAGGGCGAGAAGGGCGAGCGCGGACCGAAGGGCGACAGCATACGCGGTCCGCCGGGACCGCCGGGTCCGCCCGGGCCCAAAGGTGATCCGGCCGTCTATCCGCCCTTTGTGGAGACAACGAGTGCGGGGGCTGTGAGTATTGCAAATTGACAGTTATTCGCCGCGGGCATCTGCACAGAGAAAAAATCGTATCAAATTACTCATCAGAGTCATAATTATAAAGAAAAAATACTAATATCGGATATAAAATATAACAAACTTTTCCCTATAATATTTCTCATTATAAAAAAAAGTTATTTAAAGCTTACTGAAAATCCTTAAAGTTTCTTATTATTTTTTCTCTGTGCCGTTGTGATGGGCAACGCAAAATTGCCTGCCTGCCATAATGATGTGCCGTGGTAATGTGATCCGATCCATAGCCAGGTGCTAAGTTTGTATTTCATTTCTCATTTCTCCCTCCGTAGAAATACACTGGCGAGTGTACATGTAATGCGTCTGATATCCTAGAGGCCATCAAGGACAATGAGTCGTTGCGGGAAACGCTCCGCGGAGCGCCAGGAGCGGCGGGCAAGGACGGAAAGCCAGGTACCCCTGGTCACACCGTAAGTACCATCCCGACTATGGCTTCATCTTTCCTTTCTCTATAGATTTTACTACCTTCGCATGAGAGTTTGTTAATTTTGGCAGCAAGTTTGAGAACAAGGAGATGTATTAGAAATGTCTCAAATATCTTTTAGAATATAAAACTAGGTCATGAATTTTAAACTTTCCTTTAGGATTATTCGTAACTTTACTGTCATAAACTGTTACAGTTTAGTTTTTACCTTATTAGGGCTACATTTCCTCAGGTTAAAATTAACCTTTAACTTAATAGGAAAAACTAAATATACTTCTTACAAGAGTATTTACATTATCGGTCGCCTGGATAAAAGTTTCCTTCTTGTTTTTCTTCCGTTCGTTGAGCTTATCGGTGTGTACGGCAATTTCGAGTTACAACGGGTTGGCAAAAAGGCAATATTTGACATGAATCTAACACATTTTCAATTTCATTACACACATCGTCTAATCTTCAAGAGTGAGTGGCTGAGTGGAGGATGGTAACTGGGACCCAGGAGGAGTCTGGGCAATCTGGGGAGGTAGCTAAGAGAGATCCCAGAAGGGGCTGCATGTTTTCCTATGTCAAACATCATAATTTGCACTGCGCAGAGAGCCAGCTGTGTGAGTGTAAGTGTGTGAGTGTGTGTGTGTGCGAATGGCAGTGCGTGTAACCGGAAATGGAAAAAAACGTTAGCAAAAGAGATGGGAAAATGCGGGGAAAGTCCCCTCTGGACCCTCCGGGAGAAGGGAAAATGAGAGCAAATCGTAACGTAACGAAAATTTCTTTATGCGCCAGCTCACGCTTAAACACTTATCCACTCTCCGGGTGGCACTCGTTATATTATCTCATCAACTGGCAGCGTCTTTGGCAACCATAAGAGTTCACTGTGGATACACAAAGGATGTCGCTGTATCCATGTGCTGAACTACACTTGACTATGTACTTGCCATTTACTTCATGCAGCACTCCAGTCTCCCCGGTCTCCTCTCGGGTCAAAGGCAAAGTCCACACCAACTCTTGCTCCTCTTTCGGACACTCCACTTCTGTATACCCTGAGTGCTTGGCACGCAACAGGGCCAAAAACTTTGAGCAGCTAACCGAAAATAACATGTATACGATATGAATGCACGTCCATTACTCTTGGAATAATTCAAAAAGCGAAAGCAGGCCAAAGACAGAGTACCAGCATCATCATCATCTTCCAAATCCGCCGCCCCATTCAATCTTAAATCTAACATTTTCTGGGCCACTCCAGCAACCTGTGGAACGCAGCCTCTTCAATGCGATGCAATACATCAAAAGGAAAGCGGTATGCCGGGCCGGGCATTCTGCGGTCCACTGCCAGCAGCTAACAGCTAACTGCTAGGGAAATATGCCAGACCCCTTTCGAGCTCAACCCAAAACTCATTCCCCAAATCCGCAAAACCCCTAGGCTCGCGCTGACCCTTCGCCACCCTTGGCCACCCCCAGCTCCAGAAAGGCTTTGGTAGCTCGGTGAAATATGGCTAGCTGGCGCGCATACCGGAAATTCCTGCGACAACTTTGTTGCCCCACTGCTAATCCCTTAACTAATAGCAATTAATTTAAAAGACGACGATAAGCAACAGCTACACAGCCGAACACAACACAACAGAACAGAACAACAAGAACATGGCACGCAAATGGCTCACAGCGTGACCATTTTGCATAAGATTAAGAACATTGGGAGACACATTTTTTGTGTACCCATCCATGTCGCTATTGGAATGTCGAGGCCCCCGGCCTTTCGCTTGCCAACTCCCCAGCCGCGAGACCCCAAAAACCGAACCGAACCACATGCCACACGGAAGACGGGCCCGGTCGCGTAGATTAATGAGCTCGGACTAAAACGCAACGATTATGTAAATCGACCGCTGCCAGTTAGAAACCCCAAGCCCGAACTCTACTTCTAGACCCGAAAGAGCTCCTTCTAAAGTCTGTGCACCGAAAGAAAAGTTATATCAAGATCACGATAGATTAACATCTATAAAATCAACTTCATTATTATCTCCTTTAGATTTATTTTGGTTTTTGTGGTTATTGTTCTCTCATTTGATATCATTAATATATATTTTTGTTCCCTTAAATCAAATTTATTTTTTAAACTAAGATCACTTTGTAGCATCTTAGCCCATTTTTCGGTGTAGACTGCTCCGGTAGACGTAGATTTGTAGCTCTAAGAACACAGGACACGTTATATGCACGCCCACTAATGTGATTTATTTCTCTGTCGCTGCCGGCGACGTTTCTTCCTTTCCTCCCCTCGGTCTACATGTCTACGTCTCTATCGCCGCCATTCCGTTTCCGTTAACATTTATCCAGGGAGCAACCGGAGTGCCAGGAGCTCGCGGCGCCCGGGGATCCGAAGGTGCCCAGGGGCAGAAGGGCGAGCCAGGCGTCGACGGCCTACCCGGAGTCGTGGGTCCGCCGGGACCACCGGGTCCGCCTGGTTTGCCCGAGAATTACGATGTAAGTATCACAAGAAAAAAAAAGAGCTATTTGAATTTATTTACAATTTGAAATTACGTCTTTATGGGTGTACAAAGTACAACGAAGAATATATTGCAAATGCTTTTAATTACTTTGGTTGTTTCACCCTGGAGTTTAAAGTTTGTGTTTAAAATTGTATTAAACTAACTTGGAACTTTTATTTGTCTATTTTAATTATTAAACTGTCCGTTATTGCCATTTGAAAAAGTGTTAAAATTTGGTTAGCTTTTAACAACTATTATTAAAAATGTTGGGACAAAACAGAAACTTATTTTAATTTTGTATAAATTACTAATTCTTCATTTTTTTAAGATTTATTAAGTGATTTATATTATAATATTGCTTCAGTGAAACCTTCAACTTATATTTTTGGTAATGCCAAAATACGAAGATATAAAATAATTAATCATTTACCTTAAAATATTAAAATTAAATGCTCTTGCCTCTACGAAAACAGTTGTCTTTCCCTCTTTTTTTCAATAACAACTTATTTCTAGAGGGCAAGGGTATTCAATCTTCGGTTGACCGAATATAGTTTACATTTTAATTTAACAAACTTAATTTCAAGTTTGTTTTTCAATCAAAAATTGCACCTTTTACAATGGACAAACAAAGGCGCGTTTGGCAAATGCAGTTCCCCAAGGTCCTTTTCTATCTCCTTCTATTTCCCCTATCTGTGTCCAGGTCCTTGTCCGGGTCCTCTGTCCGTCTGTTTTCAATCACGCACAGCTTTATGAATGGCGTCTGGCCGAGGTAAACGTCCGTCGTGTTTTACAAGCCGCACAATTTGCCTAAACTAATTTCCTTCCTGGCGAGTGCGCGCAGTAACTGTGAAAAATTACCACCCCGGTGGACATGGCGTCACGCCAGATTCGGATTCAGGCGAGGATCCGTTTGCCAGTTCCCGGTGTTTGGTAGAGTCTGCCAAAAAGCCGGCACGTTCAGTGGCCACCATTGTCGTTGTCGCGAATGCCACAAAATAGCCTATCTGTGCTAATAATCTTAAAACCGCCAAGGTTCCACCGCAACATCTCCGCGCGGAAGGCCGAAACGTAAGCGTCTTGAGCACGCGAGCCGCGAGTCCTAAACCCAAAATTGAAGTGGAGTCGTCGAGTCGAAGGTGAAGTCAAGTTGGAGTCTACATGGTGAAAAAATGGTACAAAAAAGAAAATTTTAGTTGAAGATGTTAGGAAAAATATAACATTTTTGGAGAATAAAAGTTAAATACAGTAGAAAACTTATAAAAATATTTTTAGAAGGTTAACCAATAATAATTAGTGAAGCGATATTTCTTGGCACGATTTTAGAATAAAAAGGATTAGGATATAAATGATAAATACAAGTTTTTTTAAATTATTACTTTACTTTATACTTGAAGCGTAATGCTACAAGCAGGATAAATATTAATGAACTTGTTGGAGTTTTTAAAAATATAATTTTTTGATCAATAAAAGAAATATCGTTCAATACCAAATACCTTCCTAAAATATACATTTTTAATATATTAAAAAAAATTACTTTGCAAAGAAATTATAATAATCGTATATATAGTACCTTTAATATCCAAGAACAAGCAGTGTTGCAAAAACGTTATTAATTTTTATTAGCGGAAGCAGTCAAAATTTCATTACTTTTTTTTCTATGTAACGGTGAGTGAGGACTTGTGTAGGCCCCTAGGCAGCCGTGGGCTCGGTTTACAGGACTCAGGGCCCAGGATCTGGGATACTGGCTGGATTCGGGGCTGGCGCATGCCACATGCCAATGACGACGATGACGATGCCGGTGTTCCAGCTGGTGGCAATTACCGTTATCAGCGCATGGCGCGCAGTTCACGCGGTTAAATGCGGTAACACGCACACACAGATATAGATAGGGAGCCGTTGTGGCATGGCCCACACACACAAACAAATACGAAATCGCGTACAAACACAAATGCAAACACATCACTCGTTCACATTCACCCGTGGCATCCGCACCGTTGCCACTTTGAACCCTTTCATGCAAGAGTGAAACTTTTCTTTTTGCCGCTCGGCTTTATCACCGCATTTCAACGCCGTATGTTGCCCGCCGCACCCCAACCCTTTATTTCCAGCCAGTCTTCTTCTGCCCCATCTAACGGGGGGTGTGAGCCGGGGTTGGGTGGGCCGTAATCATTATCGCACTGTTACGTTTATGAAAGTGTCAAGCTACTTGTGGTCGACGAGGCGGCAGTAAAAATCAGACAGCCACTCGCCTGTGTCGGCCCGCCCATTGTTTAATGTCGGAGGGTTTATCATCATTATCATCGCCCCCGAGTCGGGAGCCAAAGCCGGAGAGTCAGCTCTAGAGCCTTTTAAAAGCTTTCCGTGGGCGTCGTACCCTCTGTGTTAGCCCAGAGATTGGGAGGTGCCAGGATCCACGACAAGGAAGCCCGCTGCTGGCAGTTAAACAAATGGGTTTGAATTTCGGGTCTACAATAATAGAACAGAAATCAGGAAAAAAAGGAAGGGTCATAGAGCAGATTGTCAACACAAAGGAAAGGCGAAATATTGAAGGACAAGCCAATTTTGACAGGATGTTTAATTTAATTTAATTTCGTAGGACAACATTCTAGAGATTAGACAAACCTTCTTTTTAAAGAGGAACATATATTTTACTGTAAGATAAATCCGCTAAAACTTAGATTCTTTACCATAAATAATTTTCCACAAAATATATTCTAGGGTAAAGCCACATTCGTTCTCCTGTATTAACAGACTTTTCAAAGCCACATTTAGAGTCCTTAAGAAGCAAATGCTTTTATGTTTATTAAAGCGACTTTTGATTGTCAACACGACTTTCACTTTTTCAGATGTTTTATTCAGAAATCCAATTACCCAGGCCTATGTATATATATGTTATTGCTGCTGCTCATATGAATCCTTGTAAAAGTTGCAATTTTTAAGCTTCTTTGGTTTTTATTTTCTTTTGACTTAATACAAGTGAAACCATCTAATAATACGCTTTAATTTCACGCCCATTGCTCTATATTATTGTAAAACGTATAAATCGTATCGAAAATTATGTATTCTTGTAACAATCAACACATAAATAACAGATAAATTGGAATCCAACCAGGACCTTCAAGGTATAAACATTTTAACAATTTCATCTTATGCTCCCACCACCACTAAACCGTAAAATACTCTTAACAATAACAATAACAAAAACAAAAACAAAGGCGAAGGCAAGGGCAAAGGCTTGCCGGCCTTGCAGGGGGTAAGCGATGGCCACAGCATTTAATGGACTAGAACCACTTGGCATCATTAGCCCCGCCCCTCTGATCCGCCCCCATCAAGAAAAGATCATTAATCAAATTTCCGCCGTAGATACACCTCCGTGTGTTTGCTGGAATCGCCATGTGTCCCTCGTCAAAAAAATGTGTGAGAGGCGAAGAAAAAATAAAAAAAAAAAAGATCAGAAAAATGGGGCCCGAAATACATGTATCGAAAATAAATTGTACAACAAGCAAATATTTAACAAATTACTATGCCTATACACATACCCTCGCAGGAATCCCTAATGGTCAACTCGATGGGCACATTCCGGGGCACGACGCAGCCGGGACCCAAAGGTGTGTCCGGCGAGAAAGGTGATGCGGGCCAGAAAGGAGAGCGCGGCGATCCGGTAAGTCAGAGGGCATGTCTAATAAATGGCCCAGGTTTTTCCTTCACTCCATCCCACTCCCCTCCATCCCCCTCATATATGCCTTATAAAGTGTTCCTCGGGCCCACACGATTGTTGTTTCAAATATATAACAATAATTTCTGCCCTATTGACTACTCAATTGATTTTGAGGCTTCACGAAAGGGCAACCGGGGCCAAGGAGCTCTCGCCCAAATGAGCAAATCGTCTACGAAGGAAAATTTGTTTTTTGGCCAGGGCCAATAATGGGGTACAAAAAAGGACATTGGGTTACGGGGAACAATGCTTTCGGTAGCCTTTTTATAGCCTTAATTAGATTTTGGAAGATTATAAAAACTTGGATTAGCCTTTTAAAATGGATTGGGTATAAGAATAATGGGACTCCCTTTACTTTAAGCGAATTTTTAAACAAAATATATAAGTTTCCCTGGTATTTAAAAACGAAAAAGAACATCAAAATATAAAAGAAAAGTTTATCAAAATATCACAAATTAACAAACTTAGCTAAAGAAAATGGTATCTTTTCACCAGTAGCTAAGAAATATTTTATATTTACAATCCTATGATCATTAGAATTCAAAAATATGAAATAGGAAACTGGAAAATCCTTAACTACATTTAATGGCCTCCCTAAAATAAATATATCTTACAAATAAAGGCCAAGCTATTAACCCCGTGAAAGGATAAGCGCCACCACATCCTAAAATGGCTTGGTATTTTCGAGTTCAGGCCAAATTGTATCCAATTTGATAGATAGTAATAATTCTTTCCGAGCTCACAGCTCCAGCTCCAGCTCCAGCTGAGTTCGAATTTATGGCATCGCAGTCATTTGTGCAGGAAATACACAATTTGGGGCATAAATTTCTATCAGCAGTTGGCCCGAAATGCGTCACTTGAGACGATGCTGGCCAATGTCTCCTGATTTCTCGTCCATCTGCTGGTCGTGCGGGTCGGGGGCCAATTTGTGTGCATTTATAGCTCATTTGATTTTCAGTGGATATGCTTTTGGGGTTGGGGGTCAGTCACACAGCACAGGATTGAGGGATGTCCAGACTGAGGAGGGGAGAGCCAACCAAGCGGAGGCGAGCATAAACTATTTCGTTTCGTTTCTTTTCACTTCTCGTTTTGGCATTACTTTCATAATAAGTTTTGGCCATTTGGGGAGCTCATCCTGCTTAGGCGACGCTTACTTCCCAGCCATTACCCCGTATGCCATTTAGCAGCTTAGTGGGGGTGGCTTTGCTCTCTCCAGCATCCAGAGTTCTACTCTCGCTCCGCAGGATCTCTGCCATACATAAATACATATTTCTTTTATGTGCAACCTCAAAACTTAAATCTGCCAGCCGGGGCTCGCATAATGTGCTTGTTGTTAGTCCGTTTCCCTTGGCCTTCTTTGGGTGCGCTTCTCACGTGGACGACCTGAACTTCCGGTGTCGCAGATTACTCTTCGGAATACCAGCCAATTTGGAACCATAAAGACACTGCCACAGCCACGACCTTTCACATATACATACACAGGCCATATTTATGCGGCTTGCGGTGAAGGGAATTTGCCGTGGCCGTAACAAGGCTGCTTTTAAGTAGTTTCCCCCTGGTGGCCACACCCGAAATTAATCGTGCGTGAAATAAAAAGAAATTATGCAAACAGCCGCCCACACCAGGGGAAACACATACACATTATAAAAAAAAAAATCGATTGGAATTTTATGATAAATTCACGCCCAATTTGTCAGGGAGACGTTGGCGCCAAACCCCCAGTTATTGCATTACAAAATTTCGGGGAAAACTAATATGGAAATTAGCATTTTAAACGTATGAATACACGCACAATTAGGTTCGTTTCATTAAGCCTAAAAAACAGACACACACACACGTAACATACACACACACCCGCGAGGGGATCTTGAAAGACAGCCTCCGGAGCAGTCGTGTGTGTGCGTTGCCTTATTAATTATTCATTAGTTGGTATTAAGTTGGCGATATGGAGCAAGGTCCTCACCCGCAACAAGCTCAGGCCCAAAGGAAAACAGCAGCCGGATCATCCGAGTAATTGCACTGCAAGAAAAATAAGTCAATTTACAGAAAAACAAAACCGAGCAGAGTTCTAAAGGAAAATAAATATAAATTGAATTGCGAGCCAAGCCAGTTTCAGTTTTCCAAAACCTAAAAACAATTATCTTTTACAGTTCAACTAGCAATTTTCCCCTCAGTGTGGCTACCATTTTCCAGCAAGCATTTCCCAGCATCCACTCGGGTGGGCGCGTGTAAATTTATGGCGAACCATTTAAGGCGCTGATGATGTGGAAGACGACGCTGGGGATGAATTGAGTCAAGCCCAAGGAAGGAAGCAAATTTCCACAAAGGCTGAGGACCCAAAAGGAATATGGTTTTGTGTTTTCGGGCTTGTCACCACGGCACTGCACACATTCGGTCGCATAAATTTATCCAGCCTCCAAGTGTGTCATGTGTGTGTGTGGGATTTCGGAATTGATTTGATTTCAAAATGAGTTTGAATTGAATTTTTTCTGTCGTCGACAAAACGTTTGAAATTGAGTTTTACGGCCAAATTAGGCGAGAGCTGTTACCTCCCTGGCTCCAACCATTCCCAAGTCCTCATCCTCATCCCCATGGGCACATGTAGCCGTATATTTAAGACCGTAAATCATTTCACACACTTGCTTTTCTTCTGTTCTGCTTTTTTTCTCCCCCCCCCAAAAAACAGGGTCACAAAGGTGCGCACGGGCCCAGCGGCGCAAAGGGTGAGCCTGGTGAGCCGGGAACACCCGGCCTGCCGGGATTGCCCGGTCAGGCTGGACAGCCCGGCGGACTCGAGGGCATGGCCAGCGCTAACGGGACCAAGGGCGAGAAAGGAGAAAAGGGAATGCGAGGACGACGCGGCGGCACCGGACCCGCTGGACCAATCGGACCGCCCGGAAAGACCGGGGCCATGGGCGATATTGGACACTCGGTGAGTATTGGAGGAGCAAGTACAAAGTCCCGAGTTCAGAGCCACTCGCAACTTTCGCATGCATATTCATGAGCTGGCCAACTTTCACATGCTTTCACCCATTTTGGCCAGGAGCGTAGTCATGGTCATTGCTTGGGTGTACAGAGAAAGCAAAGAGCATATTGTATTTGTATTTATATTTTGTTTAAACATTTTCTTGGAGCCCTTTATAAAAGGGTATAAAATTTCCTATATAAAAAAGGGATTTATTTTCTTAGTATAAAAATGTGAAATGTAATCAAACCTAATTATCATTATATTTTTGTGTAACAAAAAGCTAAACAAAATTTAGAAGCCCCTTCTGCATCCTCTCTACGCCCGTGAATCCTGCTCCTTCGATTGTTGTTGCCACTGGGAAAAGTTCGCAGACAAACAGACATTTTCTGGCCGCACTCGCGATCTAGACAATCAGGGCAGTGAAAGAGGTTGTGGGCAGAGGGGAGACGGAAAAAAAAAGCGGAATAAACTCAAACGAAAAGTATTTTAAGTGCATTTTCATCACGGTTATTCAGGACGCGGCAGTCAGCGCATCGCACGATTCCAATTGCAGTTTACCCAGAATTTCCGCCATTATTCCGCAATAACAACAGCTAAGCAATGGCAATGGCGGCAGCAAGGAGAAAACTTTCCTTTTTGCAGCGGAGTCAGTGAATTGAGAGGCACGAATTCCATGGCACTCTCCGTAGTATTCTGTGCCAACTGGCATCGTTTACCGCCCGAAATCAAAATCAAGCAGCGTATTTACATGAGCTTGGGAGAATGGGAATGGGACACGGAACTTTGGCTCAATTGCTAGAATGAGCGGAGAAACAAAAAGGTTTTGCGACTAGAAAATTGTTGCACTCCGAAAACGGCGAAAGTTTGGCCATTTTTGGCCATAGTTCAAGTTGGCTCGTTGGTCCAGTTCCCTAACTCTATCTCCAGTTTCAGTTCCATTGCCTCTGCAGCATTTTGCACTGGCAATGATCATATAATTTGCTCACAACTTTCCCACTTACGAGTGAGGCGATTTTGATTTTCCCCGACCATGTGCGAACTTTGCTACGTGCTCATGTTATTTGGGCAATCGAAAGCTCATAATTTTAATAATTAAACGTGGCTTAAAGATTGGATTGAGTTAAGAGGTTTACTTTTAAAGATAATCTCCATATTTATAATAATAAACCATCTTTTTCCTTATAGTAAATCTTTTTTAGATTCTTGTAAAGTCAAAAGATATAATTTTCCATCAAACTACGCTCTGATACCCACTTTTTTTCTACCCTGCTGCTTCCACTGTTTTTCATGACCTTTAATTGATTCTCAGGGACGGCCGGGCATGACAGGACCAAAGGGTGAGATGGGACCCAAGGGCCCGAAGGGAGATTCCGGCGGACGCGAAGGGGTAAGTAGAGACGACGTTAAGTATACGCCCCGTCTGCCGACAGAGGGTGGGTGATGGATCATTGAGAAAGCGAGACAATGACTGGGAAAACTTGTTCGTTCACAGGTCAAGGGTGACAAGGGCGACCGAGGTCAGGATGGACGCGATGGCCTGCCCGGACCACCGGGACTGCCCGCCACTGGTGGCGGCGATGGTGACAGCAGCGGGGTTCAGTACATACCGATGCCAGGACCTCCAGGACCTCCGGGACCACCTGGCCTGCCGGGTCTCTCGATTTCCGGACCCAAAGGAGAGCCCGGAATGGATTCGCGCAGCAGCTTCTTCGGTGACGCCTCCTATTACGGCCGACCAGGTGAGCTATGCCCAAGCAACTCGCACCGAATCCCTGTAAATATATATGCGGTGTGAGCCTAGTTAGAGATTTAGCCCTATCTGTACATAGCATAGTACTGTCCGTACCGAACCTAACTTATCCAACCTGTGTCAAACCATATCATTTGTATCGTACTTCCCGTCATCAAGGTGCGCGCTCATCTTTAGACGAACTAAAAGCACTGCGAGAGCTGCAAGATCTGCGCGATCGGCCCGATGGCACAGCCGGTAATCAACAATCTCAACTCAACCATCCACCATTCTATATTGATATATCCTTAGTGTTTGCCTGTGGCCTGGCCATTTCGAATGTTGCATGACACCCATTTCGCCCAGATAATTGCCTCCAGTTCAAAGTGTACACACCTTTCCCACATCTACTACATATTTTTCCCCATTCCTATTTTCCCATTTTCCCTGGAATGCCTTCACAACCGTTTTATGAACTAGCTCCTTGCTGCTTTCATGGGGAGCAAGCTCCCTCATATTTGCACATCATCATTAACTCATTTGGCGTTGATAGAGTACAACGTGTAAACATTTTCTTTATGCGCGAATTTTCACACCGTCATGACTTTTCCGCCGCCAGAAAATAACCCGACTCATGGCTCCCACAAAGACATAACACATTTTAGTTACCATTAAACCGAAATGTCAGTTTTTGGCATATTTTTGCTGAGCTTCTGACTCTTTCGGTTGGTTTTAGAAAAAAAAAAGACAAAAATGCGGTCACGTATGAATTATTAAAGCATAAATGGTTTGGGTGGGAATAGAAATAAATTTCAATGAAAATAGAAATCGATAAATATATCTATCCTTTTTTCAAAGCAAAGAAAGAAATACATTAAGAGAAATATTTCATTTTGCATGATTACCTAATTTAAAAATGCTTAGAATTGTCTCAATGTGTGTATAATTTTTTATAACTTGGCTTACTTTTACTTAAGTACATATACATACTGGTATTTGTATATTTTATATTTCAAATATTCAAAAATAATTTACTTTTCTACCTAAAATTATATTGATTCTTCACTGTTGTGATTTAGCACTTAGAAAAAATGTAATTTAATTAAATACGGGCTTACTGTATTATGGCCATAATGCCTAAATTATCCTTGCAGAGCCGCCTCGCCAGACAGTACATTCACACAAACATGAGGAGGCCCTGGGGCCCGTTGAGGGCGAGGAACCATACTTTTCGGCCTCCTCCTCGAACATGAATATGAAGATTGTGCCCGGCGCAGTCACCTTCCAGAACATCGATGAAATGACTAAAGTGGGTGTCGATTGGTTAAATTTGGCACCAGCCATGTATTTTTAAACTCTTTTTCGATGTATGTATATTTTTAACCACACAGAAGTCGGCACTGAATCCGCCGGGCACGTTGGCCTACATCACCGAGGAGGAGGCACTGCTCGTTCGCGTCAACAAGGGCTGGCAGTATATTGCGGTGAGTTTTTTGGCCAAAGCCAAAGTGCACAGAGACAAATATTCAGTGGGGTTTTGATTTTTGGAGATTTATTAATAATGATAAAATGGGAGAAAGGTGTACTGACAAGTTTGGAAAGCAGTTATTGGGTTAGAGTTCTTTGGAAAGCTGTAAATACATATTAAGAAATTGCTTCTGATATTAAGTATATTTAATTTCTTTCGGTGTGGTTTCTGTTTCGGTTTCGGCTTGGGGTTGGTTTTGATTTCTGGCTCCTAAGCAAACAAAGGGACCTTCGGGTAGCACTTTTAAAATGCCAAATATGACAGGCGCTGAGCCCGCTGGCGGGCGGTTATTATTTTATAGATCCCTCTCCCCCGCTCCGGCTGTGTTGTTCCATTATGGCCATAAGCCCCTCAGAAAAGAAAGCGGCAAATGCATGCAAAAATAGAATGGAATTGGCGGATAGCGATGGGCCTGGCCAGAAGCAAGAGCGTGTGTTTGTCTTTTGCTCGTCTTATTTATTTATTTATTTATTTTTCCTTGCCTGCCATAAAATAAGGTTTGTTTGGCATTGCCCTTGTATCGAGTCGTTTTTTATTTGCACATTAAATGTTGCAGACGTTCAGACTGATTGCCAATCACATGTGTGTGTGTGGGAGTATCTGCGTTATTCAATTATATTGACTTGCGTTTGGCTTTTCACTTGTCCCGGTTAAGGAATACCAGGACACCGAAGTACAAGGCTGCAAGGATACGAAGAACAGCCAGCGACATGTGGCATGTGGCAGGCAATTTGAGTCAGGCAGCCAGTCAGTCAAAGCTTCAAAACATTTATTGATGAAATATAAAACATGCATCGGTAGATCTGGTCGTGGTGCCTCCAGGATCCGACCTTGGGGCCATAAATTCCTGCAGCAGATTAAAAATAATATTAAACGAAAATCGAAGGTTTTATTGTCGTCCCCTGGACGGAATTTGTCGATTGTCGGTGCCACATGCCAATTAATCTCACCAGTCCAAGGTGAACTCGTGCCAGTGGGAACCTTTTATTACCCGAACTCCCTGGCAATTTGCTCGGGTCAGCATTTGTGTGGACGACCTCTGAAGTTGGCGAAATTACACGCAAAATTGCTCGATTCCCCGATAGCTTGTTAAACATTAAAGTGGCCACAATTTCGGCTGCTTGTTGCGTTATTGAAATCATCCGAAAATGGAAAATGGAAAATGGCCGGCACAGGGGAGGAACTACATACACACATACATACATACAAATAGCATGTAGTGCCAGTTGCCTGAATCGTGCCAAAGTGTACAATATTCTCAGAATTGGGGAGCTGCAAAAAACTGCTCGAGATTCGATTTCCGCTTCCGTTGTTGCAGGGCACAAAAGCCAGCACAGCATGGCTGTGCCTGGTGGGCGTGGCTGAGCCCTCAGGCAACCAAGCTTCTGGCTCCCGACTTCTCCTGGCTATGCTGGATGCTGGCTCCTGGTAACTGGCATGTGCATAAGGCAGCTCCGAATGAAAACGAAATCTCTTGCCTTTGACGGCAGCATTTAAATACTTTTGACAACAAAAACCCGGCGCAGGACCATGAACTGTCAGGGTGCGCCGAGTAATATGGCAAAATCGAGGCAAAGCTAAAAAGGGCCCTTTGTTGGTGAAATTTCACTAAGTCGGGAGGGAGTCAGGAAGTCGTCTACACAGGAAGAAAAATAGTTAACAGGATTTTAATGCAGATTATGGGAAATTGAAGCCATAAATGAAACAGAATCTCCATAACCAACTCACTAAATTTAAGATATTGATAGTTGTAGAGGAATTTGATAGGAATTTGATATATATCTTACCTTGTGTTTAGTGTAGGGAGCAATTTAGTGATAATTTTCACCCAGTGTAGCCGACTTCCCATTTGCATTTCGTATTTCGTCTGGGCCAAATACACAGCTGTCTGCCGAGATACCGAGTTTGAAGCCGAGGCGCCATCCTAATTAGATTTCAGTACACGAGTCGACTACTTAAAGTTCAAAATAGTAATTAAAACTTTTGTCAGACGACGTCGCGCATTATGGCAGTCGAAAATTTGACCCTAATACAGGTCGGGATTGAGACGGAGCTGGGAGAAAAGGGAACTAGGAGTGGTTGGTACCCCGGGACCGCGACTGGGACAGATACATAAATTCCTACACGTAATGCAAATATTTGAGGAAAAGTTTCAATACAACGGCGCTGATTTCATCTCATCATAATGGCTCGAGTGAGAGGAGCGGCTGTGTTTGCCTTCTGTTGGCAGTCGCGCTGAAATATTAACTACTTGAAAGGGTCTGTGGAACATATACATATATATTTGCTCAGGTCTCTTGTTTTATTAATTACAAATTCGTCAAACGCTCGTTGTTTGTCTCGTCAGCGGGCGGCCGCCTTTTAATTACAATTTTCGCATTTAAAGTACAATTTTATTCTCCCAACAGCTGGGTACCTTGGTGCCGATTGCCACGCCCGCACCGCCCACAACGGTGGCGCCCTCGATGCGATTCGATCTGCAGTCGAAGAACCTGCTCAACAGCCCGCCGCCCCCGCTCAATACGCCCACGGTGAGTGATGGAAATCGACTCGACTTTTCATTTTTTTCCCCCATCTTTATATTGTGTTTCCCATTTGCCATTTTCCCACTCGTACATCTACTCGCACTCGCTCTCGTATCCTCCGGCGGGATAATGACATTGATGCTGGGCGAAAATTAAGAGCGCTTCGAATGGAAATCAAAAGTTCTAGCTGGGATTCCCTTTGTGCGCGCATTAAGAGTGCTCGACTTTGATGAGATAAAAATGAATTATTTATCACGCATCGATTCAGCGGGCATCCGATTGTCCTTTCCCGCCGAGAGAGCCTCTAACAGAACACTCTACTAACTGAACTATCAGTGCTATTTGAACTGAACTATAACTATCCAAGAAAGAAACAGAAATAAAGACCACACAAAGCTTTGTTCCTAATTTCATGACACTAAGTTATAAAATACACGAATAATTGTCCCTAATATCTGAAAAATACTTAAAAAATTTTACCAAATATTAAAAACCATAATTTAAATATTAAAATATGAAGCAGGAAATTATTCGTGTTTATTTTTTCAATATAACCTCTTGTAATTAATACTTTTACAACAGCAACTAGAGCCAATTTTATTGATAAGCCTTACTAAACTTATTTATAATTAATTGTCGTTAAATGCAGTTTACAACCGCGCCCGAATACGAAACGGTAATTAAATCCATAATATCGCATACCGTAGTGTCGACTAAAAAAATAACAAAAAAAAAAAAAAACCAGCGGTGAAATTTGAAAATAGTGGAACGACTCTTGCACATATACTCGTTGAATAAATAATTTGATTTTGTTTGCTGGCCAATGAAAATATTTCTAATTAGCGAAAATTGCATTTTCAGTTCTGTTGTTGTACGCGGAACAATTGGTGTAGTTTGATTTTCTGCTTTTGTCTCTGTCTGTCGATGGTTTTTTGTATTTTCATTAATGCGATGGAAACTCTCTTTTTCCTATTCAAATAAGAGTTCCATGTTTATTTACATATATATGTATATCTCTCTATCTGTGTTATGTGTGTGTGTGATTTGCTTTTTTACCTAGTCGCTTCTTGATTGAATTTCGTCCTTTTGTTTTTGGGTAATCCCCAAAGCTTAGTTCTCAACGATTCGCATCCCACACGAAGGCCAAGAACGTTGAGAACTCCTTTTTGTGTGCGTTCGTTCGGTGTTAGAATTTCTAGAATTCCCATTTGGATTTATTAAATTAAAAGTATTTTTGTCCCCCATCTCATGGCTGCGTCTGCGAACAAAATTAATGGGATCGAACAAAAAAATATGAAATTAAAATCACAATTCCAGTGGTATCCGCGAATGGTGAGTCCTCCTTGTCCCCGCCCTTCAATTAAGCTAGATCCAACCTTTGAGCTCCTGCCCACATCCCATGATATTTTTTATCCTAGCCTCGAAGGAGGTTTCCCTACGGCATTTTTCGTTGTTTTTGTTATTAGACCTCCAAGACAATTATTTGAAGTATTTTACTATCCATTACGACCACCCATCATTTTCTGCCAGAGGCGGAACCTTCCCCAGCAACAAAGACCTTTTGTTAAACAAACAATTTCTGGCTATTAAATTCTGTATTAATTAGATCTTAAAATGCTTGACATAAATTCCGCATTAATTTCATGCCATATTTTTCCGGATCCGAAATAGCTACGCGTGGCGGCACTGAACGAGCCCTCCGTCGGCGATTTGCAGGGGATCCGGGGTGCGGACTTTGCCTGCTATCGGCAGGGACGACGAGCTGGCCTTTTGGGCACCTTCAAGGCATTCCTCTCCTCCAGGTAAGTACTCAGCACTGAGCTCGCGGCGAGTGTGTCTTATCTTTCTTTAGATTTTTCACGCGTCTTAGGCTTGTTTTCCTCCTCGGTTCGGTTTAGTTTTCCAGCGCACCAAGCTATTAAGATTTTCCCCTAAATCCCCTTTGTATTTGGCGCTTCAATGCGCAACGTTGCTCATACGCCACGTTTCCCGGCTGAGCCGACACTTTGGGAACTCATTAGTTGCCGCATAATCTTGATATTTGAAGCGAAGCGAAAATGAAAACGAAAAAAAAAAAAAGAAAACGCGCTCAAAGTATGAAAACAAAAGCTTGGGAAAACAATTTCGTGCGATTTATTTACCCAATGCTCAGAACTCGAGTTCGCCAGGGGGGGAGGATGAGGTGGAAAAACATAAATAAATAAGCGAACAAAGCACCTGCCCCTCAGACATCTTTTGATGGCAGTTTGTTTGTTCGGTTCGCGTGTAATTGCCGCTCGTATGAAGGCCATAACTTGAAACTCTCGCCTGCAGGGTACAGAATCTGGACTCGATTGTTCGTCCGGCTGACCGGGACCTGCCCGTGGTAAATACGCGCGGCGATGTGCTCTTCAATTCGTGGAAGGGAATCTTCAATGGCCAGGGCGGATTCTTCTCGCAGGCGCCGAGAATCTACAGCTTCAGTGGCAAGAACGTGATGACGGATCCGTTGTGGTGAGATTTATATTTTTAAAATAATTATACATTTAATTAAATGTTTGTACTCCCTTTTTTAGGCCCATGAAAATGGTCTGGCATGGTTCCTTGCCCAATGGCGAGCGTTCCATGGACACATACTGCGATGCCTGGCACTCGAGCGCCCATGACAAGTCTGGTTATGCCAGCAATCTCGAGGGTCACAAGCTGCTCGATCAGAAGAGGCAATCCTGCGATGGCAAGCTGATCGTCCTGTGCGTAGAGGCCCTCTCGCAGGATCGCAAGCGAAAGAAGCGGGACCTCGGCGGTGGCAGGTACTTACACGTGTCCTATTGATTTGGCATTAAGGTTTTATGGCTCGCCAACTTTGCTCATTACATCTCAATGGCCCTGGGCACTTGGACACTGAAAGAAATATATTACTTTTCAAAATTAAATATTTTAAAAGTCCAGAAAAATATATTTGCAGGCTTACAATCATCTAAACTTAATTATATTTACTTTAATATAAGAATAATTTATGTTTTTTGTAATTTTTTCTTCACGTGTATTTTCACAGCTACCGCAACAGTCGCAGTAACAGTCATGACGAGAGCGAAAGTCTGGAGTTCAGCACGGCCGAGGAGTATGCAGCGCATTTAGAAAATTTACTGCTGTAAGCGGAACCGGAAGGAAGAAGCAGCGGCAAGCGAGTCATACAGTCACACCAACACATACTCATACATAAAACAAGGCGAAACAAAAACAAAAACAAAAACCAAACAAAACAAATCACAGCACACACACACACACGTACATACTATACATTGAACGTAAACGTAAATCATGGCCATGCATATAATCAGCGAATTCCAAATAGAAACCAAAAAAAGAATACTCAGACGACAGATGGAAGTTGCATATAAATACATACTTATAATACCCGTACGAATACACACTACTCGTAGGTAATGTCTAATATATTTCATAAACATACATATAGCATATATAGCATATATATCGTGGATATATATATGGGGGTGTACTTTATGTTCAGGACAAGGCGACGAAGGCAACAAACAATTTTTTGTACAAGCAGGAAACGTATTCGTAGCTCGTAAACTGTAATTTGTAACGTAGCGTTTAGCCGTAACCGAAGTAATGTAATTTTTGTAATTACGTAAGCTCACCCTCGACACAGCAGCAGATCCAAGGATATATGTTAGATCACAGGATCATACAGTCGCCTCCGCCTACGCATTACTGGCCAAATTAGTATCCTACTTAGCTCGTATGGCAATGCACCCGAGAATCGAGGAACTCTTCACCGGACTCTGTATATGCGTGTATAAATGTGTATTTTTGTCGACAAAAGACTTCTAGGTGTGTGTAAATTATAAGGAACCCGAGTACCGTTTTTAACTATCGCATGCAGCTCATTCTGCCCCGTCTATCTCTAAACTATATACTAGGATATACTTGTATGTTTTACGACCGATTTCTACTCCAACCTTAGGCCAGAGATTTTCTACAGTGTAGTGCGCGATTCCAGTAAAACAAAAAACAAAAGAATACTCGTAATCGGAATCCCAATTTCGGATAGCCGTTTTTATATACATATGCATCATCAGATGAGTAAGGATAATGCAATTATAGCGTAACATGCCATTATCCAGCCAGCCCACACGCAAAAACACACCGATGGTAAATTCGTAATTTATTGTCATTCGATAACGAATACTTAACTAAATTCTAATTATAATTACCGAGCATAGTTAGTTATATAATAATTTCATTTTGCATTTAACCAATGCATTTCCAACTACAAAATTTGTAATGTAATTAAATGTAATTGTAACGACAGTTAAGGTATTAATTTAAAACAATAAACCACGAATGGCGCAGAACACAAAGCGAAGGGAGCGCCAAGTGACATTATATAATAGTACGATTAAAGTAAAAAATATATATATATATATTTAGTGAAATCAAAACTGAAGTGCAGAACAGAACCCTCTAGTCCTAAGTCTAAAAAATATGATGAAAAAAGCGTAACATGAATACATAATAGCATAATAATATAATTGAATAATACGAAATAATAAAAACTAAACTATCAAAGGCAACGCTCAATATTTTTACTTGGAAATTTAAAGAGGTAAGATTAATTTAAAAGTAAATATATTTTTGTTTCGTATTTTTGTAATTTTTGATGTAATTTATATGTGCTTCCTGCTATCATATTGAATTTCTTTCTGGTGTTTCGTTCCTTAAAATATTAATAACCATAAACACGCATTGATATTTCAGTGTGAGCTAAATAATTCTGGCATATAGTCAAATCCCCCATGGACTCAGGTGCAATGCCTGTCTATCTGCATTGGAAATGTATACATATATATTTTATGTGAGGCTCGTATATTTTTCACTAAATAAAAAAATATTACAAATTCATCTACGTGGGCAAAAGCCAAGAAATTACTTTGATCAATATTTTTCATTTAGCTTCAAATCAATTTTCATTTCCATTCCCCCCAACAAAACCACAACAGCAGGGGCAGGCGGCACAGGGAAAACAAAGAATATTCCGCCATTTCCCCCCCAGGACGAATGGCTATAGCACGTGTACCTGTACCTGTATCTGTATCGGTGTATCTATCTGCATCCGTAGCCACATTGATGTTTGTCTGAGCCGCACGCTTGATAACCAATTTAAATAATTTTTCACTTGAATTAAAGCAAATGATTTCAAACAAAAAGAGCCACGCAGCAGCAGCAGCAGCCCTTGAAGCTCGGTGGGGCCATTGATGTGCTTTATGAATTTCAATGGCAGCCCAACATAGTTTCCGGATACGGATTTTGTTGCCTTCTGCCCTGAGATGCTCAAATATCCTGCAGATACATCTACAACCGCAGATACAGATACTTATGCCGTGCCTGGCTGCTGCTGCTGTTGCTGTCAGGCAAATAAACAAACAGGCCAAGAAGCCACCGAGTGCCAACAGTTGCGATTTGGTTTGGGATTGGGACCGCCAGCTCCGATTGTCCTCGAGGCCGCAATATCACGGGGAATGCGGCTGAGACCGCCACTTAGGCACAAAGCAATCAAGCCAGATGAGCGGGATGAAATTTTAATTTAATGAATGAATGCCGAAATATTGTATTAGTTGATTAGCTGCGAAGCCAAATCAAAATTCTGCCTCCCAAAAACTCTCAAAACAGAGGAATTTTATGCAAAATCTAAGCTTTAAATTTGGTTTGTTGTGAGTGAAATTAATAGTGAATGATTTTGATTATTATCTTAAAAAATGGGCGACAAGAGATTTTATTTTGTTTAAAATTGTATTTGTATTGATTGTTCATTTGAATATTGATTTTGAAAATCAACTTTTGTAGTTTTAATCTATACATATATATAAATATCTATGCAGTATTAGTAATAGTATTATTACTTTATGACACTATTTTTAATAAGAAAAAAAATATATTTCAAAAGTCGGACAAGGACTTTTCTCGATTCAGGCTATTTACACACATGTCACAACTTTTTAAATAGTTTTTCAACCGCTTCATGCAAGTATTTTCCGGAGTTTTCAATTATAAGCCTTGCTCCGAGGTCTGTCAGCCAAAAAAAAAAAAAAAAAAAAAAGTTTTAAATTCCGTGTGCGGCTGACAATGTCATTCATCATAACACATTTAGCCGTGAGCTTATTAGATTCCACTTTTGTGCCCAGGCGCATTTACAAGTTTTCCGAGCTTGTTTTCCAGCTTCTTCGTTTTTCTTTTGCCGCTGGATCTTCTCTCTTTTTTTTTTATTGAAACCAGAAAAACACAAAACAACTTTCCCACCCACACATACGCATGCAGCATCCGTAACAAGTCCGCACATACACACACATGGGCGTACATACATATGTCACGAATAAAAACAATTTATCATTTAGCTTATCAAGACGCGCGGCCTAACGTCCATTATTTTGCGGACGCAACGCAGAGAATTGTTTTTTGATGATAGCCCCCAGTTGTTGGTCTTTGCGAGGGTTACCAGGAGGGGATACTAGAATACTAGGAGGTTTTTCAGGGGGAATGCTGATGTCCAAGGTGAGGGACATGAAAATAGCAAATGTCTGAGAAATGATTATTGCTCTGCCCGCATGTGATTTACAATCTATCATAGCCATTGGGAATTTCGAATTACAGAGAGTTATGAATGGGTTTTAATAAAGGCAGATGTGGGCCTAAGGAGTTTGCACCACTTCAAGTTCAACAGAATAATAAATTGTATTATTTTATACAAGGTTTCCCTGTGCCCCTAAAAATAGCTGATATATTTTAAGTGGATGGGATAATACCAGGATGTCAGTTGCTTACCTTTTCCACAAAATATATCATATATTCTTTTGAAGGCTAGCCTTTATTAAGGTGAGTATTTAATTTTTAATCGCTCGAACACTAGCCGTACCCAAGACAGACAATTACAGCCAACAAATAACACGTAGGAATACCATATATGCCTCCGGTGGGCCGGAGCTAAGAGTTGGGCCTGCATGGCCGACTCACGTGTAACTAAAAACCAACAATTATGCATGCCAAAACCGCAGAAACCGATGCCACGCCCACAATACCCCCAGTAGCCGGGACACAGCCCACATCCCAGAGCCCTCGCGACGTCAACACAGCGGCGACAGCGACAGCGGAATCGGAATTTGCATAACTTTGTATGAGATTCTTGCAGAGCAGCCGCGTCGAGCCACAATATCATTCATACATGCATGCAGCTCATACTCACATGCACTGAAAAAATATATAAAAAAATACACAAGTAATAAAATAAGTAATAACTTTCAGAAAGGTTAAATATACATATATAAATATATAGAGTTATTTTCCTTCATTTCCTTAAGGAAATCCTTTATTTTCATACATTTTCTTTCAGTGCACCGATATAGCAGGGCACGTATACACTGGCAGACAATGTCAGTGAGCCGTCAACATTTCAACTTGTCATGCGAGCAGGAAAAGCGAGGAAAGCTCGCTGGGAAGGGCGGAGAAATCGGGAATAGGGCCAGGCCAAAGGTGTGCCGCAGCGGGGGGCAAGGGCAAGGGGCGTGTGCAGCAAGTCGAAGACATTGCTCCGGGCTGCTACATGGCCTACCTTCAATTTGTCCGTGTGCCCCGCCATCCGATAACCACGTAGGTAGAGCCAACTCGGTCCAAGCCGCACCGGCTTTTGTTGCATACTTTGCTGCGTTGCCGGCAACGTATTATTTCAGTTACGTTTTGCGGAAATGCAACTGAAAACTTGCAATTTGTTTGACGTTTCGGTATTTTTTCGTATGAATTTATAATGCCCTCGACTTCAACACCTGTCGTTCAACGTTTGTTCGTTTATTCGTTCGTTTGTTTGTTTGTTTGTTTGTTTGCTCCTCGGTTGGTTTGCTGTTTGCCTGCCAGTTCTGCTTTCTGTTGATTTATAATGCAGACGATCCTCCTCCGTTCTGCCCTGGGGCTTATTGATATATATCAGGCGGCATTGTGATTAGGCAAAAAGTCGGCAAATACCCGTACGCGAATATAAACACACATAGTCGCATTCCGAGGCACTGAGGGTGTGCACACATGCGTATTTATGTTATGCCGCCGCAGTAACACACAAAAGGTAGCAACTTTTAATTGAAAAACTTGGGCACTTACAACTTGCAAGGCACTGGCAGCGGTGGTGGTTCCCCTTCATCTCTATTAGCAGTTGCAGGCGTAGGTGTAGCCGCCGTTGCTGTAGCTGTAACTGTAGCTGTAGCTGTGGGCGCGGGCGTGGCAGAGTGGCAAGTGGCAATACTGGCATTGTCGCCGGCATTACTCAAGTTGTTAGCAATGTTTACAAACACAATAAGCAAATACGCCAACGATAGCGGTAGTGCCAACTAGTGCACTGAAAAGAAAGTATTATAAGTGGGGAAAAGGTTAAACTAGGGAGGGAATATGAATTGCAATTTAAATTAATATTTCATCTAAAGGTACCTTTCGGCCTTCGATTAACGAAATTTTATTGCTTTTATAATTTTCTGTATTTAATAAATAATTACATTATCACAATATGTACTAAAAATTATAATTAATAATACTCAAATATTTATTGACTTATTTTTAAAGTTTTAAATGTAAAATTACTTATGTATTTGACCTTTGTTAATGACTTACTTTTCTATCAATTATATTTAATATTAATTTTATAAACAAAAAAATAATTTTCTAATAAATATTCTAGTATATTCCAGTGCCCCTCCTTGTTGTTAGTGAACAGGTTTAGTTGACTTAAAGACGGCATCGTCAACACGACTCCTGTTTACATAGAAAGTTTTTCCGCTCTCCATTTCTTTTGGCCCGGCCGACTGATAGTTAAACAGCACTGAGCAAAGTCTGGCTGCAAGAACGTGCGATAAGTTTTCCATTTTGCTGTTCGGCAAATATTTACCACCTCAGGGAGCCCAGCATTTACCACCAGTTACCTGTTCAGGTGCAATGCAGTGGCCACGCCCCCAAAATCGCACTCATCTTCTGCTAATTAAACTAACCAGGGGCTAGCTGATTGGGAAATCCAAATAAAACAATCAAATCAAAATGCTAAAATGCTTAACTTTTAATTAGCAGTCCGAGGCGCGTGTGCAGCCCTCGAAATACATAATACATAATTAAAATTATGATTTGGCTTTTTGGGAACTAATCTATTTTGGCCGGAATTGTAATTGGCAGACGGAAATTTCATATGCAAATTGTATTAGGTACCAGGGGAGGTCCTGGCTCATGGGTGCCTGGGTGCCTAGTTGCCCGGCTTCGTGTCCATAGTCCATGGCAGCGATTATCGAGTGCAGCTGCAATGGCAATCCACTTGCATAAGCGAGCGGCTGCTAACGCCACCGAAAGCCATCGGTATATCATGCCGGCCATAAGCCTATTAATAGCCCCTGTCTGCGATCGGACAAGCAATTAAAATTGACTGCACTTTTGAGCGGATGCCCTCCAGCCACATGGGCGCGCTCCGTTATCCCCATCACCGCTTTCCCTTTGTCCCAGCTCACCAGCTCTTCCGCTTTTCCCCTTTTTTTTCCCTTAACGCCCCGGAAAATTGTTCAATTGGGCGTAAATGTGTTGGCATCATCGCCACGTGCACGTGCTCCTGTTACTCTTCCAGCCCGGCAACTGGCAATTATTTAGGACCGTGCCCGTCGCGTCTGCAAAACATAAATTTTTCCCAGCGAAAATGTCTTGTAATTCGGGCCAATGTGCGGCAGATTGTTGCTGTTGTCACCTGACATATAACGGACTTTGATTTGTTGTTGTGCTGAAGTGCAGATGTGGCGTGGCATCAAGTATACGCCAGGTGTGACGCAGTTCTGGTCAAGTTGGTCAAGAGGCTGAGTGGGCAGCCACGTTCATTAATAGGCAAATTATGTTCCGGTTAGTTTGTGAATAAAATCCTTTGAACTTTGTGCAGTAACGGATTTATCAATATTTTAATTGAGCTTATAGGGGAATCCTTGGGAAAAGCTTTGGAAAACCTACTAAAGAAAGCTTTTGTTGCGATGAAACGATATGGTAACAGGATACAGGAAAGCTTGACAGATTCATGAACCACAGCTTTCGGGATTCCAATTACTTTTAACTTAGTGTATTTACTAAACTACTTTTAGAAAACAAGATATACTTTTAGCCTTTAACACGTTCTTGAAAAATGTTCAAATAGGAGTATTTACACTTTAATCTTTATGCCTATTTCTTAATTTAAGAGATTCTTATAAGTACTTATTTTAGATAACAATAAATCATTTTATTTATCAAATATAAATTTCAAAATAAAATGCCTTTCAGATTCGTTTTTATTTTAAATATTTAATAATACAAAACGATTCTCAGCCACTGGTTCCCTGTGAACCAAAAATCGCATCACTATGAACTTGTTATCCTTGTAAAACTTGAAGCTCCATCCAAGTTTTGCTCCTTAAAAAAGCTCAAAGCATTCATTTTTACAGTTTCCATTTTGAAGTAAAAAACAACACACTGCTTAAGTTGTTTTAAATTTTATTTAATCAATAATTCAATCGTTTGCAATATACATATTATGTAAATAAATAATGCAAATCCAAAGCATTAAAAAGTTAGCTTTCATGGTTAATAGTAAATCATTATAACTTCAGCGAATATTCGCCAGAATCTTCCGGTTACTAAATTCCTTACTTAAATTTGTTTACTTTTTATAATCGTGCACTTTGGCCCAACGCGAAAATTGTAAATATTTGCACTTTGTTTTGTTTTTTTATTTTTTGGTTTTCATTTTTAAGTTTACATTAACGGTATTTGCCTAAAATATGCTTGAATTCTCAATAACTGGTAAGTTAATTTATATATTAGGTTTAGGTTAGCATTTATGCCACTGGTAAGTATGTATGTCTTTGTTTTGTATAGCTAGAATAATCATTTGGTCTTGGTTTCAAGCCGCGCTGAAACGCATATGTTTTGTAATTCCATTATCGGTAATACTTTGATAAATGTTAAACTCGCGAAAATTGTTGCTGTTGCTTAGGTTACATTAAAACTCGAATTTGCTAAACGTACACGGAGCTGTTCCCGATTGGATCGCGAAATCGAATCAGGAACAGATCTGATAAATTCGGTTTAACGCTAGAAGTGTGTATCTTATATGTTTGCCTCATAAGTTTTGCATTATGCAGTATAGTTAACCATAGGTGGTAGGCTTAGGTTGGCTTCATTCGGTGTACAAGTGTTACAGTAGAGTTAGTTGGTATGTTAGTTGGTCAAGATTTCCTTTTGATTCGGTGTGTTTCGGTTCCAGTTTTGGCTGATATGCAATCTTTCGAAAGGACTTGAACAGAATGGTTATTTCTAATGCGAATTTCGGTTTGTTCAACAATCAACGATAACACTAAAATGTAATGCAATGTAAATTCAATTGGTTAAATCTAGAAATTAAATTTGAATAACAAGTACGAATCCAGCAATTCCAAGTACGTTTTAACATTATTGTCCTCTGCTTTTTTGGGTTTTTAATTTGTGTATGGATGTGTGCGTCAAGTAAATGTGCAATTACAACAATCACAATAACAATTATAATTTAAATCGGAAATTTAATGCCAAAATTAAGGGGAAAACCGAGCATCAAGTGCCTACGAGGGTATTCAGACTGGACAGAGTTGAGTGGGTGCTTCTGCGGTAACGCTTTACCATTCAATTATGCATATCGTAAAACAATTTCGACGAGAAAGTGCCAAATGCATAATTCATTAATTAATAGTTTCAACACACTTGCCGCGCCTTGTCTACGAGAGTATTTACACTAAAATATCGAAATCACCCAAACGCTGCGTTTAAAATTAGTTGCTGGGCCTTGCCAGGCCCTCCCGCCAAGGATCCGCTCTCCACTACTATCACACGGCTCTGATCTGCTCCTACATCAGGGCACAGCGGTTCCAGCGCGACGAGGCCCTCACGCCCTCGCCCTCGTTCAGAGCCATCGTCTTGGATCTCATCAGATTGAGATCCGTCCGGATGCTGGGACGCCGGGCATTCGGGGTCACCACACCGCAGGCATCGCTAAACCGGCGCTTGATGGACAGTGCGTTCTTCTTAGTCCCGCCCACTGCGGATCCGTGGGGCGGCAGTGGCGATGGTGCCCCAAAAACGGACACCAGACGGCGGTGGTGATTGGGTGTCATTTCTAGCGGCAGATTGGACACCGTGAACAGCGAGTGGAAGAGGTCATCAATGCGGTAGTTCTGACGCGCCGAGCACTCCACAAAGGTGCAGCAGTTGTCCTGGCCAGCTATATAGCCCATGACCTCGTCCACCTGCACAGTTCTGGGGTATAGAAAATATGTAAGCAAATTAGTATGAATTATTTTTCTTTATCGTTATTTGTTTTTACTTACTTAAAATCGCGATCACATTTATTGCCCGCCAGGATCATGGGTATCTTCGGAAGACTCTTCTTCTTGAAGCCAGAACCCGGATTGAGGGCTGCCCACTTGGTCTCCAATATGTTTTCCCGCAGGCGAACCACCTCCTCGAAGGACTCGCGGGAATCCATGCTAAAGACAAGGATGAAGAGGTCCCCTGCAATAAGCGCAACCGAAACCCATAAAGGGAGACATTAATCGCCGTTTGATTTAGCAAATGCAAATTTATTGCTTATTTATGACCCCGCATCTATGACCTACGCACTCGCAATTTTCCAGACACTATATAAAGCGCTCCTGACATCTGAAGCTCATCTCCCCTATGTTAATGTGCTCGGGATTATGCGTGGGTGTGTGGGTCTGACTTGTTTAGGGTAATTCGGATTCACCGAAAATCGGGAATGGGAAAATCGATAGCTGCATGCCACTGATACATGAATACCCTACTTATTGTTAGCCATTCATATTTATTTATATTTTCGTACGCCATTATGAGTCGAACTAAGTTCTTGCGAGGGCGTGACTAAACAATAAATAAAGTATTTTTTATTGGAATCCAAAAAGAAATCAAGGAAAAATATGGGAAAAGCTAGGAATTGTCAGTATTTAGATGTTGTTAAAGCAAATAATGTTTGAAGTTAAGAGAATAACTCTCTCTCTAAAATAAAAATATTGTCCTTAAATTACTATAATTTCATTATTACATGTCTCTGAGCCTAATTATATTATTAAAAATTTCCTTAATAAGGCTTTAATAAAATATGACATACATTATTGTGTTTTTTTTTTATAAAACCACACTTAGTTTCCTTCGTATTTAAGTTTTTCTCCTAATAAATTATACATAACAAACAACTAATTTGTAGGAGTTTAGTTTCAAGGTCCTCGGTCCTAATTATATGAGCAGGTCTTTTAGTTTGAATTTTAACGACACCCTTGCCAGAGTGACCCCGACTCCCGAATATCCCTTCAAAGGGTATAGAGCCCAACTTTTGGGCGCCAGCAGCTGAGCCTGATTTTTATGATAATTTATAGGACATTAAATGGCACCCAATGAAGGCGGTCGACAACTTAAGTGATGGTACGTGCGTTTCTGGCCGCACACACACACACACACATGCAACTATTTGATGGCCAAGACGTCACTCACTCACCAGTTAGAAATGACAAACGACGCATTGCGGGAAACGGATGATAGCCAGAAGTATCCAAAATATCCAATTGAAAGACCTCATTCCGTATGCGATACAATTTGCGGTGAAACTCCTCAATGGTCGGCGTGTAGGCCTCCTCGAACCTATTGCCCAGGAAACGTGCCACAATCGACGACTTGCCGGCGCGTGATGAGCTGCACGGGAAATGGAAATTAGAAAACGAGATTGGGTTTGAGATTGAGAATCTGATTGACGCTGGACACTGGCCAGGTCTCTGGTCACTTCCCCTTCTACGACTTTAATACGGGATAATTAAGTAGGAATGAGCTTGATGGGTAGTACCAACGGTGCACTTGATTTATTTGGGTAATATTAAATAAATAAGAAAAATGTAATGAATTCAAATATTAAAGTAGAAATTATATTAAGTGGCTCAAGAAATCCCTATTAGCTAACTGCCCTTCTTTTAAAAATATATTTAAAAATCTGTTTCACTCGTTTAAGTTTTATTTTAAGATGAAATATTCCAATTGAATAAAGAGTAAAATATTTCTCTGTGAAAAATGCATTGCATTCCACTCTTTTTTTCCATAAAATAAAAATTTATTAACAGCATAAAAGAGAAACAATTCTTGGAGATTTTTCTGTGAACATTCATGAGTGGCAATTTCAACCTGCAGCAGAAGCATTCGCCCCCAAAACTCCCTGCCTGCTTTTCCGCTGTGCGACCAATGGGTCGTATACGTACCCAAGCATAACGAGTCGATAGCAGTTTTTGGCCGATGGCAGGCTGTCGTCGCACAGCGACAACCCTGCGCCGGGACCATAGATGAAATCATCCGCCTGCTCGATGGCGTCCAGATTCGAGTGGTGCTCCAGCATGTGGGCCTGATGAAGCTCGGCGGTGGTCACGAGGCGGCTGCTGGTCACGGCTCCGCTATTGCTGCCGCTGGCCGTATCGTCCAGAAAGGTGACCACATGGGCCTGTGGCGGCGATGGTTCATCGGCGGCGCCAAATGAGGCGGAGTGGGCGGCGTTGGGGTGATTGGGGTAGCCTGTACCTGCACCTGCACCTGCACCCCTGAAACCGCCTGCTGTGGCGGCGTTTGTCTGTTGATTGCTTTTGCTGTTGCTGCTATTACCGATGCTGCTGTTGTTGCAGTGGTTGCTTCTGCTGTTGTTGTTGTTGCTGGCGCTGTTATTGCGACTCGCTGTTGTTGTATTTGCTGCTGCCGGGTCACTTAGTGCCACATCCACATAGTTGTTGTTGTTGCTGCGCGCACAAAACCAATTTTTGCAACGATACATTTTGACTGTGTCATTTCCGCCACTTTAACGGTTGTCGTTGTGGCTTAATTTGCGGTGCCCTTGATTTGTAGTTGTTGTTGTCCTTGCTGCACCTGCAACAACCAGCCACGCCGCAAGTCAAATGCACTCGCAATTTGCATTTTCAATCATTCGAGTTTGTCGTTAACAAGCTGGCATTTGCATATGGTAGCAGCAGAGCGCCTCCGTAATGGTATAACTTTATCCCCGACGAGATGCATTAGCCGCCAAACTGCAAGAAGATGTAAGAACGTTGAGATGCATTCAGCTCGTAAATATAAAAAAGTTGCGCCAGTTACTTTAAAAACGGGGAAGTTGCCCGTTTTGCACTGGGAAAACTAAACTAATATTCAACTATTATGCAGTGGCAAATATTTATTTATGAGCGTGTATATTTTTACATAAATAATAAATAAACTGGAGTTGCAATCGAAAAGGAAAAGTGTTGAATTCTTAAAGCTCACACGTAGTCCTGCAGTCCAAAGACCAGGAAATGTCCTTCAATTAAAGAGTAATATTCATTTTGACAGTCTAATTATACGTATTTTCTTTAAAGAAGAAATAATCTTAAGAAAATTCTACTTAATTATCATTACCACACAGAGAAGACCTAACTTAAGAAACTCTTACAAAAATTCTCCAAATTTCTTATAACCTTCCTAAGTACATAATTTCTTTCTCTGCAGGAAGATGGGTGCCGACTTTGCAAACATTTTGGAGGCCATTAAGCACGGTAATTGCCCCAAGCCCATCCAGACGAATAAACCACACAAAACTCAAAGAAAATATATAGAAAGGGAGAATAGGAGGAAAATGCAGCCGGAAGGGGAATCCTCGACTGCCACATACCCGTCACAGTCACCCGGAACGAGATTATCTGCAGCTGGGCAAAAGTCTTCTTGTTAGCTAAATGCAAGTATAATCCGATTGTTGCCGAATTTACTTTTACATTTTTACTACTTTGTAGCTCAAGTGCTGTTGCTTGAAATGTAGTAAACTTTATGAACTTTTAGTTAAAATACAGTTTAATCCGAAGAGATATGGGCGGGCTTAAAAATGAAAATATAAAAGTTTCAGTCATGAACGGAAATAAATTGGAAACTCTTTTAGGTTATTATATATGTGTGTGCAGGAATTTTAATAAATAAATTTAAGTAAAATCTAGCTGAAATAAATTTAAATTTGGCAAAGCAACCAATCGAACGCGTAATCAAGTTAGCAATTTAAAATTGAAAACAAAATGTTCCACAGTTTTTGCACATTTTCCATGGTAATCGGTGCTTCCATGATGAATTGCCCAGACCCCCAGTTCATCAGAGCCAATGAAAAGGAAATTCTGAAAAACCAGCTGCACTCCGGACATTAAAAGGGCTATTGCCCGACCCCCCATACCCCCACCATTTAAGCCATAATGGGCATCTTGCCGCAAATCTAATTAACTTTGTTTTAGCATGCTACGTGCTCCGTGTACATCACCCGGAATGGCCACATTGGCTCAACTCATGCATATCGCATGCAGCAGGCGGGGGAGGCAGGATCCGGGTCAGAAAGGGAATGGAGGAAGTGGAACCAAAACTGGGTGAAAGCGATGGGAGGGCGGGCGAAATCAGACCGGAAAGAGCCGTAACGGGTGCTCCGCGGACGCCATAATCGAATGCACCAAGTGCTCGTACTCGCGCTCAGATTTCAGCTCATTTTCCCCTCTTTTTTCTGTGGGACGTTGGCACGAAGGACGAAGGACTATTTAAATGCCAGCTCACAAAGGGAGCTCGAGTGGAAAATTTGCAAGAACCGAACTCACCGCACATTATTACACCCCCAAAAAGCGAAAACGAAACTGAATTCCAGTCCCTGCTTGCCAAATAAAGGCCATTTAGCCCAACTACTGGTAATTTTTCCCATAATTGATTTTGGCTTGCGGTCGGCTTGGCCTTTCATCTGGCAATGTGTTAGTAGGGGAATCTCATACACCCATACACCCGCACACACCCCCAGCCATACAAATGACTTTTTGCCTTGGCCGTAAGAGAGGAAAAAATGGCAGCGGAAACGCCTTGAGACAATGGCGACATTTGCGAGGCAATGTGGAAATGGCTGCTGTACGAAAACAGAACGAATAATCAACTAAGTGACGGAGCAGTTCTCTTATTTCCCGTGCACCTGTGCAGGAGCAGGATCAGAGGCGTATCTTTGAAAAAAACTAAGGGGGATTGTCAGTAATTAGGGTGATAGTCTATTAAATACTTTTGGGAAACTTTAAGAATTATTTTTACTATAAAAAGGATATAAATACATTTGATTTTTACTTACTTTTGCTTTTTAACATAAAAATTTATCTTATAAAATATTTCCCATTTTCTAAGTCTTTACTAATCCAACTTATTTGCATTCATGAAAAACTGTCTCCCATATCTCTTGATTATTCCAATTGAGACTTAGCAAACAACTTGCAGAACTCACATCGTTTTCGGAAGCGGAAACAGCTGGGAAATCGTTTCCGACAAATCGATGTCTACAAACTTGGCCCTGATGTAGTTAAGGAAACGAAACTGATAAATAAAATAGATGCGAAATAAACAGAGATATTTGAAAATGCATTGCACGTATGGACAGTCACACTTTGCTGTTGACAGATTACGATGCCGGTGAAGTAAGTTTGCGTATGACAAGTGCCACTTCTGCAGGGGTTTCTTGCACATACACACCCCTTCGAAAGTCAGCACCCCTGCGATATGGTACTATATAGTATATAAAGCCTGCTGTTGTTTGTGGCCCTCCCCCACATACGTTCCAATTTCACCGCAAGAGTCTCAACAATTTCTCATATTTGTTTACAATTCGCGCATACAAATGCGCAAGGTTGTCCGTCCGCCGAACTGCCTTGGCATTGCAAAAAGCATCGGTGCTCTCAATGGGCTGCTGCCATAAGTTGTCATGTCGCAAATGGAAGTGGTGTGCAATCGACACCTAATCTAAAGGATACATAGAGAGGAAATCAATTTCTTATATTAACAAACGTTATTTTTACAAAAAAAAAGAGACTTTTACCATTTTTCCAATTTATTTACAATTTATTTTAAGCTATATATTTAAACGCTTTAATGATTGATTTATTAAATTATTGTTTTCAGTGTATCATTTGTACTATGTGAAAATAAATATACTGATATTTGCCAAGTAGCTGTAGTATAAATTTTACTTCAAGAGATATCAGACCAAGGGAAAATCACAACGAATAAAATGTTTAATATATCAAAACCGTGACAACTTCTAGAGAAATGTACATATATTTATTGTTTTACATTTAAAAAAATATAATACTAAGCGATTCCACTTAAAATAACAATTAAATAAATCGCTTTAGTTCAAAGTTCCGAAACACATTAACAATGTGAGACACCGCTTGATGTTTGAGACCTGGAGATAAACTGATAACTGACAAGTGGCATTCACTTTGCTGGAAGAAAAAAAACGCCATAACGCCCGGGGGACGGAGAAGTCGAAACAGATTAGCTGCTTGGAGGAGAGAGAGAGAGAGAAACCGAGAAGAGAGAAACCGAGAGTAGTAACCGCAGGCAGTGGGCATCAATTACGCCGACAACATTGAGCGATAATCGAACCGGGGTTATCTCGGCGAGCACCTGGAGCTCTCCCTGCTGTCTCGTTGCGACTCAGTGGGGTTAGTCAGATTCCAACAGCCTGGGGCGATGGATCCATCCTCCAGCAGAAGCGTGCTACAGCTTGCCGAAGAGGCAGATCCGGAGACGGGAACAGTGATGGAGACGGAGATGGAAACGGATGCCTCTAAAATGGCAGAGCATCGGGGATATGCCGAGGCCCTTTCCTTGTCCGGAAGGAGTAACAAGCGACGCTTGAACCGGAGGTCCTGCGGCACTGGCCAGATCCTGACTGCAAGCGCCATTTTCTTCGCCCTGATGCTCATCGTCGGCGCCATTTTTATGCACTTAAAGCACAAGCATCATCTGGGCAGGCTGCACATCCATCTGAGGGACCACGCGGAGCACCTACCCCTTGTGGCCGCAGCTGGAGTGGGTGAGTTGCTTTAAGGACCCTTGTTCACTTGTTCAATCGCTGAAAGCTCTTCGCTAACGGATAATTTTATAAGCGGTTTACATTGTTGGGCTGTTCTCTCTCTCTGTCTCTTTCCCAGTTGACTGATTAGAAATGCCATTAGAATGATGAGAATCCATCTCAGATCACACAGTTACGAAAATAAGGCGATAAGAAATATTATCTCGCATTCAATACAAAATACTACATACAGCAGCAATAAAGTGTGTGAATAAACTTCTTTAAACACGGAATAATTTAATAATAAACAAACTATATAAATTACTTTAAGGATTAGTAAGAATAAAGCAAGCTTTAAGTTTATATGCTGTGTGTGTTCCTTAGTTAACTTATATGTAAGCGAACTCTAGTCCGATTCAATAGAAACCTTCGGCATTCACACAAGCCTCGTGTGTGGCCAAACTACTCAAAAAACTATGCGCAACAGCAATTTAAAGTTGTTTCACCAAGCACCCAATGAACTACGCCCAGTTTGTTTCAGGTTTCTTAAAAGTTTCCCCACACAAAGAGAGCGAGTGGCTTGTTGGGTTCAAAATGTGAGGTCTATGGGTTATTTAGGCCTGCCCTCTGTTATGCCCTTGCCTTAATCTATATTGTGTGGTAAATAGTTTCGATTAAGCGGCTAATTGTGCTTGTCCTTGGAATGCATTTTGCAGCTGCCCAGACGATAACAACATTCCAGCCAGCAACGGATCCTTCTCCATCTTCTGCGACTCAACCTCCTCCTTCAACTCCTGCCACTCAACCACCTCCTTCATCTCCTGCGAGTCAACCTCCTCCTTTATTTGCTCCTCCCCGCCTGGTAACCGACGAGTGTCTGGCCTGCATAGCCATTGCCGCCACGAATAATGTTCCTGGAGTTTGCAGGAGTAAAGTAGGCGATGAATGGCCGTGCGGCATTTATCGCATCTCCCCTGGCTACTGGGAGGACGCACAGCGGTTAATTGATCCAAAGGACACGCTGGCAAGGGGTAAATACACACACTGTGAAATAATTGGACCTGAAAGTCAGAGAAATACCATGCGGTTGCTCCAGGAGTATCGCAATAAAATATATTCCCTGAATAAGAGACTAATTGGAAGAGTTTTAAAAGTTATTTTATTTACATTTCGCGTTCGAAACTTGTGCAGCTTGCCTTGTATTTTCGTTAAAATATCAAGATATATTTTCATATTCAATACATAATAATTTACTTTCAATGACTACTACTATATACAAAATTAATTTCAAACGCTAATTTCTTGGCTTAGTCCCATTTTGTCTCTCTGCAATCGTGTCCCTTGGCTGCCTGTCTCTGGCGTTTAATAACCATCAATTGAGCTCTTTCCATCTCTGCCCTTTTTCAGACTACAAAGGATGCGTGGTGGATGATGACTGTGCCGGCAGGATTGTGAGGAGCTATGTGGAACGGTATGCCTTTGATTGCAACCAAGATGGACGGATCGAGTGTCGGGATCATGCTATACTCCATATGCGAGGACCTAGTGGCTGCCGGAGGCAGGAGCACCTGACGTCCCCGGTGGAAAAGCGTCTGGAAGTGTGTTTGATATAGAAAGAAGTAACGTAAAACTGACCGGTAGCAGGCGCTCCATATTGGGGTCGAAAATAGAGGGTTTGGTAAAGTAGGCGCTATGTAGGCGGTGCATTTTTGGGTCGTATATAGAGGGTTATGCAAAAGAAGGCTATAAACTCAAGGAAGAGCAGCAGCGCGGCATACTTGTCATCGTACAACTTGGTGGCGGCCGACCTGCCGCCCATGATGCACTGCACATGATACATGAGGAACTGCAAATGATTCGTGGTTATGCAGGGGACAGTTGCAAAAGAGAATATCAAAAGAGGTCCTTACAAACGCCACAACGCAGGCCATTGTGATGGCGAACACATAAAAGCACCAAAACACGCCCAGAATACAATATAGGACGATGCAATACAGGCTCATCAGGTAGAATCCCAAAGTCATCAGATATATGTAAAGGCCACCCATTGTGATATCCGCCTGCATATTGGAACGTTCAACCACATGAAATATTTAATTATTTCCAACCTTCCACTTACCGGCATTGTAGCAGCCAGTATAACGATGAACAAGAACACCACGCATGTTATCAGGAAAGCGATCAGCATATAGAGGACCGGCGGTTCAATCATCAGCGGAATAAGACCAACCACCAGGAACTCCACCTAAATATATTATTTGTTCACTATTTTCTGATAATATAGCAACACAATCCTCGATAAATTGGGGTCCTACTCACTATGACCACGGGCAATAGCCACTTCATGCATTTCATTCTCCGTATTGACTTGCTAAGTGCGTATATCAAGAACAGGAAAAGACCTACGACAAATCCTAGGAACAAGGCTGAGCTGTGATTCCTCGACACCTGTTCGAACCAACTCCTGGTAAAATAAAAACATAATTAAAATACGTATCCAATGAGTGAAATTTTCATTGGTTACTTTACTTCAGTGCTGTCACCACCAGGACCCATTGCAGAAGACCAAAGAGAATGCAGCCGAGGAACTCAAGAAAGCACTTGCCTGTGAATCGTCGACGGTCCTTAACCGTTTCTGTTTCAAAAAACGGCCAGATGACAACGTTTGGCTCGAACATGGCTTCCCATATATAATTTTGATATTTGATGTTTGGCGCCAGGAACTCTGAGACATAGACTGGATTTCATAAGAAATTCTGGCGATTCACGAGCACTAATTGCACATCAAATTGGGCCAAAAAGTTGATGAAGCAAATGGGAACAAACAAGCGATGCTGGCGATTCGGCGTACATAATTGAACTCGACAAAAGTTTATAATCTGGCAGCATCGCGAACAAATTGAACAACAAGTCGCAAGTGTGTAATAATTAAAAGTTTTGCTCAGAAACGGTCGAAGGAGCGGCAAAGTTTGGCGCAAGTTTTAAATCATTTAGCAGACGACGGACTAATTGCTGCCATGTCGCATTAATTTGTTGAGTGCTGATAGCCGGCGCACAGTGCGTATGCGCAATGCGTTCATAATGCGACTGTCTTTGCCAAATATTTACGATACCTCAATAGCGGTCTGATTTAAGCTTTGAGTTGTAGAATAAGAGACTTTGTTCTAAGCAATTGTAAAAATAATTTTTGTTTAAGGAAGCCTAATTTTATAGTGGCTTTAAAATGTACAAAAACATTTTCTAAATACGACCTCTCATACCTTTAATATTTCGTCAATGTAGTTTCCCTTTTTCACCCTATTTCCCACCCTCAGTAGGGATCAATGTTCGATTGTGCTGTTGGCGTTTGTCTGGGATAACGATTTCTGGCTCGCCCGAGCCCTAATCTTTCGATTGCATGACAAGTGTATATAACTTTATTCAATCAAATGTGCAAATAGCGCATAATGCAAACAGAAATAGTCCAAATGAGCAGACAATATGCGGCCGAGACAATCCGATAAGGAGCGACTTAGACTCTAACTCAGAGTCAAAGTCGTACTCGTACTTCGTGTTCATTATTTACTGTCGATACCGAAGGGGGCCTGCAGATAAACATTGCTTGATTGTTTGATTGATTGAGGGCCGGCAACTGGCCAGGGCCAAGGACAAAGAGTTTCATTTAAAAACAATTACGAATTCGGTTGAATAACTCGCAGCGCGTCGATATTTTTTTTATTTTTCATTTTCTCTGTGGCCCGTGTCAAAGGTGTCGCTCATCCACGACGGTGGCAAGGTGGCAGGAGCAGGAAAAAGCCCAGAGAGGGAGAGCTCCAAATTGATTGCTTTATTGCAGCGCAGACCAGGGAGATGGAGGGGAAAAACTAGAGCACCGAAAGTGGTGCAAAATTGATGGAATCCCAATGCAAGTTGTGATAAGAATTTTTGGCGCTCAGTTAGGAAACTTTTCTGGGAACTTGTGCAGTTGGCAGCCGGATTAGTTGGGCGCCAGCTCCATCCAGCAGCATCCAGCTTCGGACGAGCTCGTACATATATACTACCTCTATCATTCATGAGTTGCCAGCTCCAGCTCCATAACGGCTCTCCGCCATTTTGTTTGCATTGCCAAGTCGAATGAAAATGTCAAAAAGTATAGCACACTTTGTGACTGCCGGGCTAACAGCATTTGCCAAATGAAATTTACATGACACATGGCACCAAAGCCAGGGCGTCGGGTCCTTGAAAGGGTTGCTCCCCGTCCTGGACAGAGGACACTTCGGCTTAAAGCCTCTGGCAATCAAAAAGTGTGCCACATAATTAAGTGTACATCAGAGATTAGCCACCGCCATCAACAAAAACATGCCGGCCGCTGTCCCACCGGGGAATCATCCTCCAGCCTCATCCCGTCTCGGTACGCTCCTGGCAGTCCTCGTAATTCCCGCAAAGCGTCCGCCTTTGTGCGCATACTTAAACAGACATTGGCAATGACATGACCTACAACTGTTCCGGCGAACCGCTTTAATGTCTCTCTCATGGCTGCCGGCTAAAAGCCGAGGCACTTCATTAATTTTATTGCCGCCTGCTTTAGTCCTTCCACTGCCACTTCTAGGACCCCCACCCCACCACTTCCTCCACAGCCAGCTCTCCTTTGGCGCTGCCTAGGCCGCCTGTTGTCTTTGCTTTGAAGTTTCCTCGGTTGTGGCAAAAGTTTTGATTGTCTAGCCGCACACACACATGCCGCAAACATGCTACACGGCAAGGAACTGTCACGGAAATGTATTAAGTATTATCTGGGAATGACGTTAAGTATTTTTTAAGCAGTTGTTTATAATTTTTGTAATTTCAAAATAGTTATTTATTTATTTATTTGTACTATATATTTTAGAAAGGCAGTTAACTCTCTCTCTCTTGAAGGCATAGTGTAATAATATGAAAATATGCACTGCATTGCTCCACACATTTTCTAATATTGTCAACATGCTTTGCATTTGCAGCATCTGGTGCATAGAAAATTTATAAGCAATTTCCAAGCTCTCAATTGCTTCTTTTTAGAAAAAGGAAAATGTTTTCAACGTGTAAATGCCTTTTCCTTTAATATTTTCCTCGGTGCACAACCACATATGCCGGCTTCTGGGTGTGTTTGAGCCAACTCGAGTGGTTAAACGTAAAAGTTTTTTAATTAGAGTTGTTTGCGGGCAGCGGCGCATTGTGCGCACAATTTCTTTTCGATCGTCTTGGGCGAATAGTTTCGCTCTTACGTTAACATTCAACGAGCACCGGACAGGAGCCAAAAATTTGATGCCGCGAGGGCGGAATTCCCATAAAATTGGCAGCCGCTGTTCGCTAGCGAGCCAAATAAAATTCATGAGCCCTTGTAATAAAAATGTCACAGCGATGCACAGGCTACAAAAGGCGCCAGCCCATCAACAGGGAGGGCCGGCCGGGCTTTCTATAAAATAGCGGCGGGTTTTCGTCGGTGGTTTTTCGGGAAAGCAGCTGTCAGCGCCGTCGCTTGACAATGACAATGGCTTACCCTGGAGGGCTACCACCCAAGGGGCTAGGGGGGTGGTGGAGCATAAATTTCGCAGACATCTTTTGTGCCCGGGCCCCCGAATTCAAATTCAAATTTTCACAGCAGTTTGCATTTATTTAATTTTACTATTATCAGAATAAAAAGGCTTTGCGCCTGATTAGAGCTTGCCGCGCGCCTAAATGTGTTTTCCCAAATTAAATGAAAATTAAATGACGCCGAGACCGGGGCCAAGGCAAACCTTCATTGACACAACGTGCAAATCTAATTTGGATTTTGCCTCGCACCAACGGTTTCTCATCTTTTTATCATAATGAGAATGCTCCCAGACCCTTGATGGGTGTCCAAAAAACACTCGCACACCAGCACTTCCGGCAAGGCTACGCCCCTAGGCCGGCAAATATCCGCAGGATGTGTTGTTGGCCCCGCTTAAGCACTGCACAAAATTATGGCTAACTGATTTCTAAAATAACATTTTTTATTATAACTTTCATGGATATTATTATTCATATAGAATTATATAAAACATATCGATTTAAAGTCCTTAAAATGCGTAATTTGTACAATTTGCAGTACAGAAATGTTTGTTTCATCCTTTGTTTTTAGTGTAACAAGCCGTCAATGCGATTTCGTCAACGCAATCACCCGAAGAGACATCAGCGAACCGGCATCGCAACGCCGGCGAAATACATTTTCCTGTTGTTTTCTGCCAATTTTGTGGCTGATGCCTTTTTGCTCTCCTCTCTTCCGTTCGCATTCCCCGCAGTTCTGTTTTTTATCCCGGCAGCCTTCGACGATTTCTGGCTCAGACATTCGGCACTCAATATACAGTTTGCATTATACAATATAGATGCCCATATCGCTGCTTTGCGTATCAATGAAGAGCCCGTCTTTATTGCACATTTTCCAATGCGCACAACGTGGCGTATACGCATTATACAGCGAATACGGTTTCAGGGAAGCATACAGTGGCAGGGTTCTTGAGATTTTTTATGGCAATTTATTAAAAATGTATAATCAAAAATGTCTGGTTTTTTAAATTGGGAAAGAAACAAAAATAAAATGGTAGCATAAATATGTGATTAATGTCATAAATAAATGCTACTTATTTGTGACGAAGATGCAAAGCTCATTTTGATTTGGTTTAAGAGAACAAAAATAACTTTTATAAAGTTCTTAAACTAATTAATTTGTCATGACTTCATCATAACTCGCCCAGAAAGCATTTTATTTAATTAAAGAAAACATTTCTGTTTTCATAGCTTTATAAAGTTCAAAGTTGCTTAAAAGCGGAATGTCTTGATAATTTATTTATGCTGGAAATTGAAAAAGAACTTCCCCGGTGAACTTTTGACCCACTGTGCCACACTGGAGACAAACAGTTTTCGGGACCCTTTCGTTCTGTGTGTGTGTAAATGTTCCTCGACCGCTTTTTTCGTATTTCGGTCAGGTCACATTTATGCTGTATACATTAATTATGGCTATTTACTTTGGCCGCTTTCGGCCCCTGCCACTGCCAATTATGTGCACGAAATTGCTTATTATTGGATGCATAAACACACATACTCCGATTCGTTCCTATATACCACAGACATATACACCGATAAGGCCGAGTGTATGAAGGCGCCAAAACGGCAGGTTAAATGGTGGTCAAAGGGCCCATTCATTCCCGGCCTAAAAGCCCATCTCAGCTGCCTGTTCCAACAGAGGGAGCGAGGAAAACGTTTCGGGTAAACAAAAATATGCCATGTTTACTCAGCGAGCAGTCCAAGCCAGAGTTGTTTTTGCTGTTTTGTTTTCTTCTTGTTTTATTTTTTTGCCCGTTTTGTTTATATTTTTATTTCTGTGCTACTTTTGGCAGTTGTTGTCATTTGTGTATGGTCCAGAATGATGGATGTTATTATAATGTCGAGGAGTCGGCTTAGCAGGCGCCTGACATCCTGAGTGGTCACTGAGAGAAGCGAAACCAGCGACTGACCCAAAAATCTCCAGTGACAGCTGAGTTGGCCAACCACACGGCGGGCATCCGGGCTGGCCAATTCATAAGCAGCTTAAAAATTAAAACAATTTAATAAAAATTAATGCCCCCGTGCACAGCAATGGCAAAACAACGACAGAAACAAGCGGTAAGCGGCAAGTAGCAAGGAGCAAAGAGAACTGCGCTTTTCATGAAGTATTCACCAACTAAGAGTACTGTTTTTATTTTCCTTCCCCTGGTAATTATACTAATTGGTATCATGGCGTGGCGGGAAAGCTGAGCTGCAAGCATAATGCGATAATTTATATTCCTCGATGGGGAATCCTTTGTGCCAGCTGGCCACTGCTCGTCGTCCCTTCTGTCTTTGTGGTAGAATATTCCTGACGCAATTTGATTAACACAGGACAGGGATAAGCCCGTTGCCACTACACATTCGAATAAAGTTTTGCCTTCCGGCATGGCAGGAACCTTCAAATGTTACAGTGAGGATTAAATTTCTTCACTCAGACAAATTACAAATTAAATAAAATATTTCCAGCGGTCAATTGAGTCAACTTTAAGCTGCTAACTCCAAATTGAATTGTATTGAAGTCTGTCATAATATTTATTCTTATGTCTTGTATTGAATATTTCTAAGAAATAAATCATCTTCATATTTGTACTATGTTAATATTTAATTTTTAATATAATTAAACTCTCTTAATTGGAAAATCGGTGCCGTTTATAAGGATCAAACTGCAGCAGTTTTAAACGCGGTACAATGATGGGAACAAGCAGAGGCGGATCCGCATCAACTCGAAATTACTTTACAAAAAATTATACAGAGCGAAGAAAATGAGCAACAACTGTAAAAACAAAAACCAAAAAAAGAAACTCCAAAGGGAACCCTGTGACATGCAAGACATTTGTTGCTTTCACAAAAAATCTTTGTGGCAGACGAATCACTTTGGTTAAACCATCTGGCATTTTAAAGCGGTTCTTCAGTTATTTTCGCTCATAACAATACCCCCAGCTACGGGGGATAACACACTCCCCGGGAATTCGCAGCAGTATCCAAATCAAATGATTACTGCGGCAACACATGACAGCCAAGAGGGAGTTGCTTGCTTTTTTATTCCTTGTTAGTGGGAGGGATGTGCTTGTTGTACTCTGTTTGAATAGATTTCCCGAATGATAGATGACTCGATTTTCAATGGGTAAATTTTCAGGATTATGGTGCAGGTTGATTTATCTACTTATCTGGCGGGGGCAGGCCGAAAAGCACCCATATCCTTTGGATTTTTATAGCGTCTCAGTATGAGCTTGAAATGGGGAAGGAATTTGTATGTAAAGAAAGTGGTTTTCAACACCTTATCTTTTAAATAAGCTTCTGTATAAGAGAAACCGTTTATTTATTACTGTGTTATTTATAAACCGTTGCTTGAATCTTATTTAATCAATTACTTTTCTAAAATATTAAATGTTATTTCATAAACTTGCTTTTCAAGTTTATAATTTTGCCCTTAGCTTCCATTAATTTGTTAAAAGTTTCTCATGCTTTTCCGAGTGAGAAACATGAGACTTTTCCTTAGGCTACACAATATAAAGCAACTTAAAATGTACACTTCTTCGAATTGAGATGTTCTGCATTTGATATGAGTTTCCTGGCGTTTTCTTATAAAACCATTCTATCCAGAATCAACAAGAACGTAATGAGTATTCGGCCTTAAAGGGTTTAAGTCGAGGTCTGGGCCCACAAAAGAAATGGGGACAGATGTGCGGCCCTGCCGACGGGGAACCCATAAATTCGTTCCAGTAAACATTTTTGAATTGTTGAAAAGATTTGTAGGAAAACAAGACAGGCAAGCAAACACGCACACATCTTGAGCTGCCTTCCATATATACATACGTATTTATTTATAAGAATTTATATATACATATACCGAATGGAGTAAAGCGAGGCGGCTGCAAAGTTTGGCCAAAGTGCTAAAAGATGTGTGAAAGGCTGCGACGGAAGTGAAGGATTCAGGATGGCGGATTGCTGAAGAAGGCGAAGATGGGGTGAAAGGTTGGGCTGGCGAGGCGCCTCAAATTACTTTTCTGGGCGTGGGCGCAGCTGTTGATGGCTCCTGGATCCAGGATCTTGGCATTTCTTTTAATTTAGATTTGCAGCACGGGGCATTTCTGATTTGTGAGCTGTGATAGCGAGCCTGACTCCGCCAGGACTCGACTTCAAAGCCTGCGCGCATTTACCACTCAATTAGCAGGCCGTGATACCGCTCCCGCACGAACTGCTCACTAATTTATTAATGGCTAATGTCAAAATTCGGGAAAACTCAGCGAGAATCAGCTGCCTTCGGATGACATTGAAAAATTGCCTAGCTAAGAGGCAGAGTGTATGTGTGTGTGGTGTGTGCCTTCTGTTTAATGGCCCGACCGCCTTTTTCTCACTTACGTGGAATTCGAGGCATGAAGAAAACAATTTAGATAAGCAATATGCAAAGTGTGTGAGGTTCTTCTTTGGTTATAAATATTTTCTGCTGTGCATGTTGAATTTTTAACTGCTCCGCCACTGCCGCCAAGGAAGCAACTTAATCAGCAAAGATTTACGAGTAACCTGGCATTACTTAGCATACCGCCCAGACGCATGACAGCCGTTTAAAATTCAAGTACCAACTATAAAAGGCAAGACAAAAGCCAAGACACTTATGCACTTAAGTGGTCGACCATAAAATATTTCGACTGCTTCGAGTGGAGTGCTGTGGCTGTTCCTGCCATGTAACCCGAGTCCCCGAAAGCCTTTTATGGGCCAGTTGGGCGTCCCCGAAATCAAGTATACGCCCTGCCCGCAGGTGTCCAGGTGGCGGCAAATCAAATACAGCATACAAAATACAACAATATACACAGGACAGGACAAGCAGCCACAATAAAATCAAATGAAAGCTGGGCAGGCCAAATCGAATGAAATAGTCCCCAAATTGCATTGGAAGAAATCACACAATATAATGGCGTCGCGATAACAATGTCCTGTCGACAAATTCTGGCTCACCTGAATGGACATCAGCTAAATTGGTTGTCCTTTGCAATTATTATGTGTTTTCTCTATCGTTTTGGTCGGGGTATTTCCTGTTGGCTCAACACACACACAAACAGCAACAGCACACGGCACAGGGGCACGCACACACTATTACACAAACGCGGCGTGTCGTTGTCCTCGAGGATGCGAGTTTGTTGTGGCTTTCGCGTAAAAGGACACGGCTTTATGAATGAACAAAACGCTTTGAGTGCCGATGCCAACGGGGCTTCCCCGGGACCTTTGTTTTTCCGGCCAAAAGCACGTCCGACTCGCTCGCCGACGAGCGCTTATCTGAAGCGTATGCCAGTCGGGGCCAGGAAATTACTGTGAAATTCAATTGCCAACTCCGTCGGTGACCTGCGCACTGGCTAACAGCGAAAGAGAGCAACAGGAGGTACTATTTGGGTGTTACAGGGAATCGGAGCAGAGGAGCATCGGAGAATGAGGGTTCGGGATTATGTAGGTTGACAAGAAGTTAAACAAACAAAACAAAAGTCAAGCTGTATCATAAATATAATGAAAAGTTTTTCGCCAGCAACAAGCGGGTGGAGCTCATCCCGTCCGCCGATGGATATACTTCTTTATACTTCATCCAACTTAAATGTCAACACCAACGCACAGAAATCACAGGAAGAAATATAACCCTTTTAAAATATAAGAATTGTTATGTTTTAAGATTTACTGAAGAAGCAAGAATTGTTGTAAATTTATAAAAACAAAATTCAGAGATGAAAGATCGGAAAATCTTAGTTTATATAAAAACTATTCAAAGCTATTTAAATTATTTAAAAAATGTCCTAATGGGTTTATAATATTTTAAAGTATTTTAGAAAGTATTAAACATTTAAAAGATGAACCTACCTGTGAAGAAATTAACTAAAATTATTAAATAACCTTTGAAGAAACTTAATGAAATTAATTATTAAATTATCTTTAATGTATTACCCATTTTTATATATTTCTTAAAATGGTATAATGATAAGTTAATAGAATACAAAATAATGATTCTCTTATGAAATTAAATGAATAATTACTCCCCCAAAATGGTGTTAATTTCTTTGAGTGCACTCGTGTGTACACATAATTAAGAAATCGTGCGTACTCCACGCACTTTGATTCAGAGTCGAGAATTTCAAATGTCTCTGGCATGGCAAATAAGCTGTTGACTTTGTAATCATTTCAGCATGTTTATCAAGTCATTTATTGAGTGGGCCAAGCAGCCAGGCAGCGGGCGTCCTGATTAGCGGCAATTGCGCTCTTGCCGCTTTCTGCCGTTTGGCTAAGAGCGCGTCTTAGCCGCGGCAATTATGAAAATAAGCCAGTGTTGGAGCCGCTGCGTTGAATGGCTAATGTCACCAGCAACCCCGTAACAACCCCCCAGAAAGTCCCAGTCCAACCCCCTAAAGTGGGCCCGCACCACTGTCGTTGTTTTTGCCTTTGTTGTCTGCGGTCTGCCGCGTGTCCTTTGCGGTTTGCGGCACTGATTCACGATTCAGGACTCAGGAGCCGCCACTGCGTGAGGGAATCCCCCGCTGTGGGGCAAGTGCTTCGGCGCAGGTGAGGAAATTAAAAGTTAACTGCCACTGGAGATGGAGAGCGGAGCAGGTCACCCATCAAATTGCTCACTTTAAAATATATTTTCTGTGAAATGCGAATGTGTTTTTCACGAAATATTAAATGACTCAGTGTGCACAGGCTTTAAGGCTAGGGGATTTTTGGCTTACCATTCGCAACTATTTTTGTTTTAGATTTATTTCCAGATTATTTTCATCTAAAAACTCGCACATTTATGATCAAACAACCGAATAAATACATTTGGGCGACCCTCAGATGCAATCTCTAGTTCAAATCAATAATAAAAGAGGCAAACAAAAATGATGAAACGGAAATAAAATGTTCAGCTTTACTGTTGATTCTCTATAAAGAAAATATAAACCGGATATTCGAAGTTTTGAGTTTCTAAAGTTCATTTTATTATTTTTTTTGTTGGATATATATCGAGTTTACTACAATTTTTTAAGTTTTTTGTGACTGCAATCCATTAAACTGTCTTGAAACAAGAAAGAAAGCTAACTTTGGCCAGCCAAAGTTTGTATACCCTTGCAGGTAACAATTAAAATATATCATAACTAAGCCAAAAATGCATTAATTTCGATTCGAAAAGCAGTTTTGTGTTAGTTTTTATTAATTTAAAAAAACTGCATACCAAATTTAAAATTTTAGGAATTCAAAATTTTTGGCCATTTTGGCTAATTTTAATGATGTAACCCCTTATCAAATTTCGCAAAAATGGCCAAAAAATCGATTTCTTCCGGACATGTCTAGAAAAATTCGCATGTTAATGCTGATCAAGAATATATATGGTTTATGGGGTCGGAAATGATTCCATGACTTAGAAAAATATTATTTTGCATTATAAAATCTGATTTTTTATATTAAAAAACTTCTTGATTTTTTCTAAAATTAAAAATATCATAACTCGGCCAAAAGAGCATTAATTTTAAATCGGAAAACTGTTCTGTGCTAGATTTTCTACAGTTAATAAATCTGCATACTTCATTTAAAAATTTTGAAAATTCGATTTTTTATCAAAATCAAAAATTTTAATGATGTAACCCCTTATAAAATTTTGAAAATTGGCCAAAAAATCGATTTCGTCCGGACATGTCTAGAAAGATTCCCCTGTTGATGCTGATCAAGAACATATATACTTTATAGGGTCGGAAAGGTCTCCTTCACTGCGTTGCAAACTTCTGACTGAAATTATAATACCCTGCAAGGGTATAAAAAGCTTGGGTTAAGTGCCTGATAAATATTATTTAAATATCTGAGTGATTTTTTGTGAATTTATGAATAAACAATTCAATAAATACATTTCTTGTCCCTTTTATTCAAATTGATCTGTCGAATTAATATCAAAATATGCCACACAAATATGCAAAAAATGGTAAAATTAATCAATGTTGTTGAACTATGTGTACGTATTTTTTCCCTCTTGGGAAAATATATTTTTATCGCGAATTCGGTAAAGTGTAAAACATTTACTTTTATCTTTTTCAACATCATGGTCTAAAGGGACTAAAGCCTAAGCCAAATATTTATGTTTTACTATCTATTTTTCAGCACATTGTGTTGATTTTACTGCTTCTCTCTTTTCGTTTTTTTTCATTTGATTAGCAAACAAAAATTGAAATTTGACATTTTAAATCAAAGCTATTTCGAAATGAACTTTGTTTTATCTAAACAAAAATAATAAATAAAATAAAATTCTGTAGAAAAGATACATAATTATTCAATATGTTAAAGTTCAGCTTGCTTTTTTTTTACCAATCTGTTGCCTGAGTGAACTTTACCACCCACCATTTATTTATTTTTCCGCCATATGCTGACAGTTCTTTGCTGCAGGCAAGCATTTATTTTTCACTATCTCTCTGCTCCCACTATCGTCGCTTTGCTGCTCCGCTGAGTCCTGGTGTGAGTTTAAGTGTAATTACCGTAGGCTGAACATAGCTAAAAGTATCTCCCAGATACGCGAAAGTATCTTTGGCTGTCAAGTGGCACGCTCCACTGGCTGCGCAAAGAAGCGACTTATCGCTGAATCAGATTTTCCATCAATAAATAAGCAATAATCAGCCGGGTGCTGCTCCTCCCCCGCCTTCCTGTATATCCTTGAATGTGAAAAACACACCTCGCCGTAATGCAAGTCAATGGATGCGATTGTTTGCCGGCAAGTGCAAAGTGTTGAATGGACTGCCTCTGAATGGCAGACAGACAGGCAGCCAGGGAAGGCAGTCAGGAACTGGAACTGAATCCGAAACAGAAACCCACAGGAGTGCATTGCCGTGGAGTGGCATTCAATTGCCGGGCGGCAGACAAGTGAATCAGCCACCAAGCGGACAAACAAACAAACAAACAAGCGAATTCAGTGTAACGACCACAAGCCCGGCTTGATAGCATCGCTTGACAAGTCAATGAGACGAGCTCTGAGCGGAAGTCAAGCGGGAGCTGAGAGCCACCCCAGCCAAAGCAAAGCAAACCGCACCGAACCCTCCAGCAGCCAACAACTGACGCGTTGACAATGCCACTCCGATCACATTTGTTCAGTGCCACCGAGGCCATCACACGTGTTTTCATTCACTCACAGCTGCGGTTTGCGAGTTGAGTTAAAAGCGAATACCAGGCGGTTTCTTTTGTGTCACGAAATCAGCTTAAATTTTCTTTTATCTCTAATTTAACTTTATAGTGATGAGCTGTGAAATTATTTGGAAGTATGATTTAATAGTTATTAGTTCTCTTAAATAAACTGTGTGGACCACAACAGCATTTATATAAAATCTAATTTCCTTTTCATTTAATTTCACATTTCATTTGTCACTTTGGTCATTTGCTTTCCATTTTTAATTGATGTGAAAATTGTGTTCATTTCCTTTCAATTTGTATTTTAAGTGAAAATTGTGGTTTACCTAAGAGAAAGCAAAAGAACAAAACAACATTTACGGCTGCAATAACTCAAATGAAAGTAAATGGTCTTTAATTGAGTTAGAAGAATTTTCTAAAATTTTATTTGAAATGGCACTTTGTAAATGTGTGTGGTTTAATTCTGTGAACCAAAAAAATATGGCTTACCGCAATTAAAAAAAAATATTTATATAAATATTTGAACTAGGTGGAGCCCTTTTAAATCTAAAATAAATTACTTTATAGTTCATGTTCATAAACACTCCCCATAAACCAAACCAAAATTATTAGGGAAACATATATCCGTACAAAATACTCCAAGGGAAAACCCTCTTAAGACCCGTTTAGCTCGGGTAAAACGTTTTGTAATCTAATTAATGGCCCTGCAGCAGATAATGGGCGAGTGTATTCATAATCCCTGGCAATTTCGCATTCATTAAAAGCCAATAAAAGTGAAAATTATAACGCCCACCTCCGCCGTATCCGCTGGAGCCCTCTTCTAGGCAGGTGAATGGGCGCCCCACTTCATTAATAGCCCGCGTGGGTGGCTTGGCGAGTAATGAAAGCTAATGAAATAACAATTAATTGAAAAAAGAATGA